GAGGGGTGAGGAGGAGGGGGTAGGGGAGGAGGGTTGGTGAGGAGGGGTGGGGAGAAGGGGGTAGGGGAGGAGGGAAGAAACAAACAAATCAGGTAAATTATTGTGATCAGCAAGCTAGTCTTTCAGCTCTAGAAAAAATTACCTATAAAAATGAACAAAGGGATATAACTCTGTAAACTGCGTGGCACAAAACCTCATCTCAGTATATGACAGCCATGCATTCCAAGAGATATTCACATACACAATTTGGGTGGGAGGTGGAATACTAAATAACATCGTATCCAGTCAGTAAACATTTCATAACTTATTTATCACACCACAGACCAGGGCTTCCCTGCTTAAACCTTGTAGATTACTTCTCAATTAGGGCCTAATGCCATATTTGTACATATCGTGGCCATACAATTGGGCAGTACACTGGACATGATACAAGATTAATTACATCAAACAAAGGGAAAGTCAGATTCTAGGCAGTGGTGCGATGAGTTCATGCATTTAGTTAAAGATTTTCTGTTAAAGTACTGATCATGATTGCATCATATAAAATTATAAATATTAGACTGAAGTGCTCGATACAACATGTCCATTCAACACATTAGTGTGGTGGAATAAACACCCACAGTATATACCAAAATATAGATAACTACTGTTTATATGTAAATCCAGAAACATTTACTGCAAAAATAATAAACATTTTCTTCATTTCTTCACAATTTAGAAATCATGTTTATCAGTGTTTATATATGAGACTTCACCATTCTGAAGCTTGTTATTAACTAGTTTGAACTTAGACATAAGAAACAGCATGCTCCAACTTCATATCAAACAGTACACAAGATAACGAAAAACATTCTGTACCTAAACAAAAGGACGCGATACTCACCTAGCATTTTCATCCTGGTCGATGACAAAAGCTACGTCCGACCTGAACTGCATGAAGTACTGCATCACGAAGCCCTGGTTACGCTTTAGTGGCAGGTCTAGCTCTTCGACCTTGACAATGGCATTGAGGAGGTCGAGGAACTGGGGAACATTTTCCCTTTGTTTGGCCACGATTCCCATCACTTTCATCACCTGGGTACCACTGATCTTCATACAGGTATTGGAGTTACCGGTGAACACCTGTGCAACGAAATGCCTCTGTTAATCCTCCATAATTATCTCTAATTTTAGTGGGCATTAATTTGTATCTCGAGTGACCTCCTACACAGACAATATCTTAGCTTATGTCGGGCAGTAATGTTTTGGTGAAGTAAAGACTTCAATTACAGCAAACGTTTTAACTTTGATATTTAATATGAATGCACCTGTATATAATAATTAAGGTACATAGACCTAGTGGATTTCAGAAGATTTCCAGACATCTCTTCAATTTGTTACTACATGTTCTCTAAAACTCACGATTTTATTGACTTATTTCTTCCAATATTTGAAGCAGAAAAGCACTTTGTCAACAGTTACTGAAAGTTCATGAATTAATCCATATACTTTTACAAAAAAGTCACTGGATTGAGAAAATATAGATTTGGTAAACAACTAAACATTTTTGCAGACCCTGTTGTATTATAAGAAAGGTCCCCAGCAATAAGCTTTAAGGTGTAAGATGGTTGTGTTATACCTCTGTGAGAGCCTCAGCTAACTCCGGCCCTGCCCCTTCCTTGGACAGAAGCATGTCCAAGCGGTCAAACAACCTTCCCTGGACAAGTTTGTTACTGCGGGCCATCAGCTTCAGCAGGGTGAATGTCTTCTGGAAAATCTTCCTCTGACCCGAGTATTGTTCCTACCACACACAGCGATCAAGTAAAATCAACTATTCGGTGAAAAGAATCTACCATAACTTTCAAGTGCTTCAGTATGATTAGTACTAAAAACACAATCACACTAAATCATGATAGGTATATTTTGAAATATATCACCGACCTGGATAAATATGAGAAAGCTGACATAGGTTTGTTTATATTACATGTTTTCCATATTTTCAACATTCAATCACAAATGCCAATCAAGCAGTTACTTCATCAACAAACTATGATTACACAGAGTCATTTTTTCAATCGTATCCTTGTGCTTTTTTCTGCAATTTGAATACTTGCTTTATAATTAAGAATTTAACTCATTTTATTATCATAGAAAGTAAAATCATAAATGTTCCGTTCTAGTATGATTACAAGACAATTACAATATTGGACTCCAAATTAATTAAGAGCTCTGCAAACTGATGTATAATAGACCAAACACAGCACTGGTTTCTAATCCTAGTGTTTGTCATGTTGTAGACACAACTGAACAATTTCCATCCCAATCCATTGACATTAATACTGGTATTGTGAGATACCGTGGTCTGTCAATGGATGGACAGAAACAATATAATAATAGGTCCTGAAAAAATATCTCAAATATGTAGAAACAAAATAATAACTGATTTACAAATATACAACAATTGTAAAAAGATTAAAAAGAATAAAATATTTATAACTATTTCATGCTGCAAATAAACCTTTAGAGAGAAAACATTTTGCTGTTGTGTTGGCAGATACTTGAGTACAGCTATCTATCACTAAATAGGTAAACTCATTTATTTCAATCAGGCATATTTGTTTAACAAATACTGAAATCATAAGTTGTTACAAAATACTTCTCATTGTGAAGGTATGTCATGCTCTAATCATTTCCAGCTAAAACTTCTTTCGTTATTCAAGGAACTATATATTAAATTCACAACTTGAAAAGCATAAACTGTGAGACAATAATGTAAATACAATATTTTTGATAAATTGAAACAAGTAATGACATGCACTAACTATCATCTGAACTTAAAATGAAATACATCTGTGACCAGACACCTTAGCCTTTCATGTACAAAACATCTTAGTGGCATGACACCTTAGAAACGGTTGATGTATTAAAAAACTCAAAATCTCGACAGCTCATGTAGTCGTGCCATGCCATGCCTTTTATTTCTTACCGCTTCCCACTTCACGCATGAAACACATAAATTTCATGTTGGCAGGGTTCTTTCACATTTTAACACATAGATGGTACAACTATTTCATGCCACTTTTTTATTAACTCTCATATGGAATATTTTTTTCAAGTTGCGTGCTGATGAAATGATAATGAGAAGTCAGTGATATTCCATTGATCTCACAACAGAAAATTCACAGGAGCATTCTCAAATTGTGGATGACAGGAAATGTCCATACAGCATTTACTAACATGTGTATGTGCCTCATAGAAAACAAAAAATAACAAACAAGGCAAACTATTGTAATCAATCTGAAGTCCCTCACCTCCTAATAAACTGCTGTATAGGAAACAAAAGGGACATAACTCTGTACAGTATGCCTAGCAACCCCATTACACGTACAGTCTGCCATCTCAAGAGGTTTTTACATAAAAGAAATATTGGTGATTGAAGGTGACAGGAGTAAATTACAAATGGATTTACAGAGTACAAACCTATATTCTCCCCTGTGTTTTACCAGCTGGAGACTTAATAATAATGGTCAAATATGGAGAGAGTTGAAATATTTACCACAGAAACATGTTGAAAGTATCTTATTAAAGCACTTTTTCAAAAATGACAACCTACATAAAATGATTACAAAGACAATGAAACAAATCTCCAGGATTACAGCATGTAGAAATAAAATTAACCTTCAACAGTTCTAAAGTGCCCTTAATCAGTCAATGTTTGTCTATTGTCAGAGAAATGACAGGACTGGGGATACCTTCAGGAATCCAGATACTTTTAAACAAAATAACATAGCTGATTAACTTAATTAAACACCAGAATTATATGTTTTTGAAATATAACATGTCAAAAGCATTTCACAATAATGAGCTACAACAATTTCATAATAATAATAATAAAAAAAAAAAAATGAAAAAAAAAAAGTTAGTGTGACCTTACCCTGACTTTTATAGTACCAGATAGCTACAGTAGTATACATTAGCATGAATTTCAAATGATCAGTTTTTGAAGTGTTTGATCCACAACAGTTGAGGGCTACATGAGACGCAACACCTTTATACCTCTCAAAGTTGGAGGTATTACATATATAGTTAAACTCAGTGGGAAAAAAAAAGGAAAAGAATGATGGATGGGGGAAACAGAAAAATCATTCAATGAAATAGAAAAGATAAAAAATAGATTATCAAAATTAAACATAATAACATAATTATGCATTCAAACTTATATTCTGTGAAATTAAATTTAAGTGCTCATTCAATACAAAATAACAGATTTCTATGGATTTTATCAAATCTTTGAGAAAAACAATGATGACATTGTGAATGTAATAATGATCTTACAATGACCAACAAAATCAGTCATGACCTTGAATGATGTTATTTGGCTAATTGTACATGACCTTGAATGATGTTATTTGGCTAATTGTACATGACCTTAAATGATGTTATTTGGCTTATTGTACATGACCTTGAATGATGTTATTTGGCTAATTGTACATGACCTTAAATGATGTTATTGGCTAATTATACATGACCTTGAGGTTTTTGGTAATCTACAATGACCTTGAATGCTAACCTTTTATGATCATAACTGACTTCAGCAATCTTTGCTGACATTGAATGATGATAAACTTGTATGTGATTTTAAGCAATCTTTGTTGAGCCTGAGTGATAACCTTGTATGACCTTAGGTGACCTTACCAGGAGTTTGACATCTATCTCCTGTGTGAGGATGGTGAAGGCGTCCTCTAGCACTCCGTGGTTATACAAGATAGACTGGTTCATGCCATGTGGCTCCTCTGGTTCATTCTCCAGGTGACACATCCTGAAAAGTAATGTACTGGGGTAAAGCTGAGAACAACCAGGGGCCCATTTCCAGCAGGAATCAATTACCTTTATAAAACTAGGATGTTAACTCATTCTGTGATATTGTCTTTTGGTCAAGCCACGACATTCATATTCAATAGCATAATCATAGATGTTCTATGTAACTTTAAGGCATATCATATCTATATTTTTAGAAGATATTAACTTTATGTAATAGCCAATTTTCCTCACAGGACTATGTATGGTTTGTGCCTGTTTTGCCCCCAAATGCATCAAAATCCAATACCTTTAAATGAGCATTGAAATGAATGTTTCTTTCATTTTGAATACTTCCCAAACACTATCATGAAAATATTTATTTGTATTTTTCTAATTATTGCTACCATGGTAACAAGTTCAAATTTTCATAAATTAGAAAAAATTGAATATTCAGTAAATTTTGTCATAGTTTGCATTTATTTTTTTCCTGGAAACTATAGAGCATTCTTGAACAAACTAAGTATCAAAGGAAAATGTGTAGTCACCTGTTATACATCTTTAGGAGAAATATGAAGTTTGTTCAAGAGTGCGCTCTATGAAAGCCAAGAGAAAAACTAGGTGAAAACCTGTCAAAATTGACTGAATTTTCAAATTTCATTTATTTATGCAAATAATAACTGGTTACCATATGGCAGCCATATTTGAAAACACAAATATAGGTTTACATAATAGTGCCGGGGAAGTATTCAAAATTAAAGAAACAGTCATGTTAAGGCAGTCCGGACATACTTGTTGAGACGCTCCAGGATGCCACACAGTTCCAGAGTCTGGTCATCGTTGAGTTTGGCTGTGGAGTACCGTCGCATCTTAGGCAGAATGTTTTCTAGGTCCTTATACACTGCTACTGAGCTGTCTGTGATACATACCTGGACACAGAGGATCAGAGTGACAAATCACATACAGACAGCACATGTATAGCTTGTCTACCACCACACTCTGGAGGGGCTTAAGGGCCTTTATTGGGTTATATTGGTAATTCAGCCTTGTTCACAACCAGATTTAGGATTTTTTATTCCCTTATACTGGTGATTTGCCTTTTAAAATCTTTCTTTTATAGTATTTTCCAGTACGTATACCTGAACAATAGATCATGTATAAATCCTCTATAAAGACCTCCAAATTTGAAAGTTACATTTATTTTGTAATTTTACTATTTGGTGGAATTTTAACACAATTTTAACCAATTTTTCTGGGAGCATTTTGAAATGTTGTCAGGTTCCTGGTCCCCCCTCCCCTCCCCAGTTTTAGCAAACAATGTGGTGATTTTCCTAAAGAATGGAGCTTGATCCAATCCCAAAACACCAAAAGGGTAGAACGAAGGTGATAATTAGGAAGCCTTATTACCTACCTGTGCCTGTACGGCCCTGTTAAACAGGTTGTTGTGAGCCGAGTAGAATCTGTTGAGGAGATGCATGGACATTCGTACCATCTCATCGTACTGGTAATTGGACAAATCCTTCAACACAGAAAAACAGTCAATAAACCACGACATTCCCTGGAATACAGAAGATATCAGACAATGTTGTTAACACATGAAATCAGAGTTACCTCAAAGTTCATACAACAACCATATACTGACCTTGAGGACGTCGACAAGGTCATACCCTTTGAGGAAAGCAGTCTCGTCAAATATCTCATTGAGTTTCTTCATTGCATGTTTCGATACCCTGTAATAAAATAAAGGGTTAAAAAATAATACACAAGTTTGTTTTAAAACATAAATACATGATCAGACACTGTTAAAGGTATAAACAGTGGTTTGGCACCTGCTAACAGGTAAAATGTAAACTAGGTACTATCATCAATGTAATCTGTCTAATGTTACTATCTAGGTACAGGTAAAATACAGGTAAAAAATACAGGTAATATATAATGCACCAACATTAATGTAATCTGTCTAATGTTACTACCTAGGTACAGGTAAAATACAGGTAAACATTACAGGTAATATATAAGGCACCAACATTAATGTAATCTGTGTCTAATGTTACTAGCTTGGTACAGGTAAAAATTACTGGTTAGATACAGGTAAACATTACAGGTAATATATAAGGCACCAACATCAATGTAATCTGTGTCTAATGTTACTATCTTGGCACAGGTAAAAATTACTAGTTAGATACAGGTAAACATTACAGGTAATATATAAAGCATCAATGTAGTCTGTGTCTCATGCTACTGTCTAGGTACAGGTAAAATAGAGGTAACAATTCCGTCCTCCATCGCCATCATTAAATCATAGTTTACTGTTGAACATTGAAGTGTCAAGAGACCGATGCTTGGGAATTAAAATTTTCATAATCCAGAAATATCTCATAAATGCCAATAATCATATTCCTAATGCTAATCTTTTACATTTGTATAAAGCTTTGAATATTTAGGTTAAGGAGGAAAATTACAAGATTGTATCATGCTGACTTTGTGATATTTGTACTGTCGCTAAATATATTCCATGTTAACTGCTGTGTTGACTCACCGCACTAAGTAATCACAACTATAGCAACAAACAAATAACCACTGTAGACATGTTCAGGAAATTATAGGGAACTTGCTTCAACTGATGTTTTGGATAGCTTATACTTTTCTTATGCAAAGATGCTCCTATCAAATATCAAAGAAAAACACCTGAAGCATGGTCAGGAAAGTAGATGTTCACAAAATAGAGTGATTTACAGAATCGTTACACATTTGTAGGGTTAGACATTTAATTCAGATTAGCATATTTTTTTCTTACATTAAACATTATTGAAGAGACTGTAGTAATTATAGTAGAGTTGTGCAAGGAAAACACACCTGAAATACAACCTTAAGATTATTTGAGTGACCAGATTACTGAACAACAGTTAAAGAACATGTACATACTACAAGTACTACAGGTACAGCCAATACAGGTGAGTATAGGCGACTATATAAGTGCCTTCAATTACTACGGTAACCAATATTTAGGAAAGTTTAGAAACTCTTGTGAATTATTTAATGGCTTTGTCATTTCTATCCTAACAAAATAACAAAATAATAGAAAAAAAGACAACTACCTAATGTGGCTAATACTCAAAATCACATATATAAAATGTCACATTGGAAAATTGTATAAGCTGTTGACATAAATTGTTGTGATGGCTGTACAACTGAGTCACAAGACAAAGCTTTGTAAGTTGGCAACACAGGAATCAACTTAGCCTTAACTACAACACATAAAGCCCAGTAAAATATAAACTCTATCACCGGTCTGTAAATATCAGAAATTAGTTTCCATGGCAACAACCTGGTTCACATGAAAACATGTGCAACGGGAAAGCTAGGGTTGGATAAAGTAATAAAAATATTATACTCTAAAATAAAAGAGGAAATGGACAAATTATCACGACAAAATATATGCTAATGTAACGATGGTGATGGGGCGGCAGAGATTGTGCGACTCGTCAGTATTCTCCATGGTTATAATCTATATTCTTTTTAGTAAATGTTTGCTGGGTTTTTTTGCATGTGATTTTTCACTATTTGAATCATGTTACAAAAAAAATGAAAAGTAGAGCATTGCAATTTCAGCAGATTGTAATGTCTATAGATTATAAGTTCAGAAAAATACATTTGTACCACAACTATATAATCAATATTGATGAAACTCCTCCATGTAGGTAGCATGTAAAACTGAACAAACTGGGTTCTACTAGTCATGCTGTGATAAACTCTGAAATGATAACACCTATTAGATATATTACGGTAGAAATGTGAATACTAATAAAATCTGTAGTAACGATAATGTGCCAAAACCTTACCTCAGCAAATGTGGGCTGATTTAAACACAGAGAACACGTTTATATTCAACAGCTGTCCACCCAACTTCTGAGTTAAGGGTGTATGATACCTTACTGACACATGCATCTCATCAATACAAGTGTTAACATATAAAACTGCTTTTTTAGGAATGCTTATTACGACTTCATTCGTAACAAGTATTGATGAGACATTTGAAAGATACGGATGAATTAATTCATTACTTGATGATGACATTTTCAAGGGCAACAACTCTAACTAAAATCAGATATAATGTGTAAGGTAGCATATAACCTTAAGACCACAATGGACACAGGTCAAGGGCATGTCTTTTTTATATGTTGTTTGATAGTTACAATATGTAACACATTCTTTAGTACCATTGATGCATTTCAAGCAATCAAGGTCAAAGGCAAATTAATGTATTGTGTGGCGACCTTTGACATCCCAAATACCTGTATTTGTACAAAACATCAATTTCACATTTATTTTTTTGAATAGCCTTGATCAAATTTTACTATTTGTTTAAAACAGATTCAAACAAAAATAAATTTTGAGATTCATTCGAAAATGACTTCCAAGATTTTTATCATAAAGAGTGTTGCACTCTGACTTTTTTTTCATATAACAGTGTAATCTACTCAACTTGAACTCATCAGGTCAATTGTCAAGGTATCCAGGTGTTATATTTCGTAGGTCGGGGCCAATGTTAGGAGTGATAGTTGGTACATCTCTGAGTTCAAGTTAACCAGATTCTACTGTACATAATACAACTGATGAAGTATAGTTAAATGTGGCGAACGGTAATTAATGTGATGAACAGTAGTTAAATGTGGCGAACGGTCATTAATGTGATAAAATGGTTACAGACCAACATGTGATGAAAATTGGGAATGGTCACGTGATGGAAATATGATGGAACAGCAGCCAATGTCATAAAACAACAATGTGATGGAAGGGCAAATTGATGGAACAGCAATGTGATGATAGGAATATTGACTCAAAAATATATTACAATCTCATTCCAATACACATATCATTAATAAAGACTTGACATAAAGTCTTCTATCAAGTAGGAGATAAGACTGATTATTGAGGCCTGCTTTACAATGGTGCTGTGTACATAGGGAAGTCCTACATGGCTCATTTGTAAAATATCATTTCTGCCACAGCAATTTGTCTCTAGTTACACCTCAGTAAATCTTGATAAGCCTCAGGTCTAATTGGAAAGTAACAGTACAATACTGAATTAGTGTAAAATGGTTCTTACCAGATGATTTACCCAGGAAAGTTACTTATATCAAGTCCCCTATCGTAATCTTTAAACTTTGGATGAAAGATTATCATATCAAAGAAAGCTGACAGTGGGGTGCTGACACACCATTACACTCTTTTTTCTTCAGAATCATCTTGTACAAACATTCAAGACACATCTTTTATTAAATATTCATATTACAAATATATATTGAAGGATTTTGTAGATAAAATAAATTGACATGTTGAAAATCGGCCATTTATCCAAGAAAGTGAAAAGCAGTAGTTTTGAATATGTAATGCGGAATAAAATAGATAAGATCTTAGAAGAACAAAGATCATTTCAAGAAAAAATATAAATGAGAGTTGATTAAAAAGAAACACCAATGCATTGATAAGGAGCGAAGTATTATTTCAGAAATATTTTTCATAAAGGCAACAAAATGTCAGAGCAATTATAAGGACTACTTCAGATTGTGTATAGATAACTCAACTTTTGTGTTTGCCGACAGGAAGTTTTTAAAAAAAAATATGATAACAGATATGAAGAAACGGAATGAGTATATATATATTGTTGAAATGTTATTATAACAGATATGAAGACATGGAATGAGTATATATATATTTGGAATCACATGCCTTACGTTATTGAGATAATGGTCAGATCGGTGATGATAGTTATACAACAACTCTTTTAATAACATCTTAAACTCAGTCTCTAAATAGATATATATTTATATATATCATAAACTCAGTCTCTAAATAGATCCATATTTATATATATCTTAAACTCAGTCTCTAAAAAGATCCATATTTATATATATCTTAAACTCAGTCTCTAAATAGATACATATTTATATATATCTTAAACCCAGTCTCTAAATAGATCCATATTTATATATATCTTAAACTCAGTCTCTAAATAGATCCATATTTATATATATCTTAAATTCAGTCTCTAAATAGATACATATTTATATATATCTTAAACTCAGTCTCTAAATAGATACATATTTATATATATCTCAAACTCAGTCTCTAAACAGACACATATTTATATATCCAGTCAATACCAATATCTCAAGACGCAAGGTTTGTGATTCTTTCTCATACCACTGACCAATAGATGTTAATGTTTTATATTAGATAACTACTGGTAAATCTCTCTGTACCCTCCTCATACACTTAGTGAAAGATTTTAGCCTACCTTCTGTCCCACTTTAAGAGTTTTGTTCATTTTAGATTGCAAAAGATATCCAACCAAATAATTTTACTCTGCAGAAAAACCTATACAAATGAAATTTAAATCACATTTGAAAAATATGCTCTAAAAACTAATTTGAAAATATATTTATAATAATGATCCCTTTTTTTCTTTCTCCAAATATTTCAAACTTTGTTACATTTAAAATTTAAATGTCTAGAGATCTTTTGGAATGACTTGACAATTTGGGAAAGATGAGATAGACTTGTGGAGTTTCTTTAAATATTCATTGAGTAAGGTATCCTAAAAATCTGTAGCAAGAAAAAGTGGGAAAGAAGGTAGTTTGAATACAACAAAATTCATTTTATCAAGTATATGTTTTCTCTACATATAGCCTAAGTCTATATACAGGATCAACATTTCCAATTTGTATTTATCTTAAAAGATGAATGATTTTTTGACAAACACGTTTAATTGTTAAACTGTGATCAGTGGCACAGGGTTAACACACAACAAAAACTTGGATACGTAGATTTTTTTTCCAAACTTACGATTTATTCTTGTCAACTCCAACACCGTGTGATCTGTATTTTATATTCAGTTGTCAGTTATACAAGGGAAATAACTCATAACCAAGGGGAGATCATTTCATAAGTCAACCTATCTGTATTTTGCCTATTAAGCACTAAATATACACACACTGTAGTTTGACATTTAACATATCAATCAGGCTACTAGCATAGATATCTGAAATGATGACCGATAGATTAACTAGCCTCTAATGACAGATCTAGATGTCTGCCTTGTCCAATGAAAACATACAGACAAAATTAGAATATTTTTAACTCTACTCAGCTAAATAAACAACAATACCTACAGGGCCAAAAACATTGAGTACAGAGAATTTTGAAAAGACATCATAGGATGAACCATTCTGCAGACATCAACGCAGCATGATCCACTATGACAGAAACCATCCTTGCAAACAACTGTAGGTTAAGCATATACATATTTTAAGCAGGTAAAGTCAATGCAGGCTGCCCATTCAAACTGCTACTCCCATTGACCTTGATTAGAGCAATATATGGCACCATTGTCAATTAGTTCATCTTATAGTCAAACATGAAAAACAAATATCTACAGTAGAGTCAAACAATACCTATCATTGGCAGTTTCCAGTTTGGTGCTGAAGAGCAAAATATTTCAAAAACAACTTTTTATAACATAAATAAGTTTTACACACCATTTCACTAAAAATACTGTTTCATGTAATAAATTTGTTAATTGATTAAGATTACCAAAGAACAAAACATTCAATTGAACATAAGGTTTGATTTACAAGATTATATACATTTTCATTAGACCATATTAGGGTTTAAGGGTGACATAGTTGATTTACAAAGAAAATAATTCAAAAATGTCCTTGGATAAAATACTGGTATTAAAAACTCGATGCCATTAATGTAACTGCTCACAGCTATTACAATGTCAGAAGTCCATATAAACACCTCTTTTTCATATAATTTGAAACTTTTAAACTAACAGTTAAATTGAGAAAAGGGATGCGTGTTAATCAGGGATAATGGGTCAGTTCATGGGGAGGGAGATAACTCATACTTACATATTTTTACCTCTGATACTACAAATCATTGTAAATTTCACATACAAGGACATATTGATAAACATTTCTGTTTTTTTATCCTTTCATTTGGACAAAAAATATTTTCTCTGATATTTATTTTACGAAAGTGGATAAACTGTATTCCTGGACGGTTTGGTATAGTTTTATTTGGCTTAACGTCATTTAAGGACGTGCCTCCATGTATAAAGTGGATGGGTGCTCGAGTAAGTCCTGGAACATTATCATCCAGTCAAATATTGCTCATCACTGGTTAAATACTTATGAGCTCAGTATTAATTCTGCCACTAACAGTGAAATATTTTGAATTGTAATAATGTGTAGAAATATTTACTATCATGACATAAAATCCCTCAAATCATCGATAATCAAACTGTGACAAACTCAACACTATAGAATAACTTGTACATGAGTTAGTAATGACTAGCAATGATGTAATATACTATACTCTTTGTTAACTAATGACTAGCAATGATGTAATATACTATACTCTCTGTTAATTAATGACTAGAAATGATGTAATATACCATACACTCTGTGAACTGATGACTAGCAATGATGAAATATATTATACTCTCTGTTAACTAATGATTAGCAATGATGTAATATACTATTCTCTGTTAACTAATAACTAGCAATGATGTAATATACTATAGTCTTTGTTAACTAATGACTAGTAATGATGTAATATACTATACTCCCTGTTAACTAATGACTAGCAATGTTGTAAAATACTATACTCTCTGTTAACTAGTGACTAGCAATGATGTAATATTCTATCCTCTCTGTTAACTAATGACTACCAATGATGTAATATACTATACTCCCTGTTAACTAATGACTAGCAACGATGTAATATACTATACTCTCTGATAACTGATGACTAGCAATGATGAAATATATTATACTCTCTGTTAACTAATGATTAGCAATGATGTAATATACCGTACTCTCTGTTAACTAATTACTAGCAATGATGTAATATACCATACTCTCTGTTAACTAATGATTAGCAATGATGTAATATACTATACTCTTTGTTAACTAATGCCTAGCAATGATGTAATATACTCTACCCTCTGTTAACTAATGCCAAGGAATGATGTAATATACTATACTTTCTGTTAACTAATGACTAGCAATGTTGTAAAATACTATACTCTCTGTTAACTAATGATTAGCAATGATGTAATATACTATTCTCTCTGTTAATTAATGACTAGCAATGATGTAATAAACTATACTCTCTGTTAACTGATGAGTAGCAATGATGTAATATACTATTCTCTGTTAACTAATAACTAGCAATGATGTAATATACGATACTCTCTGTTAATTAATGACTAGAAATGATGTAATATACTATACTCTTTGTTAACTAATGACTTGCAATGATGTAATATACTATAGTCTTTGTTAACTAATGACTAGTAATGATGTAATATACTATACTCTTTGTTAACTAATGACTTGCAATGATGTAATATACTATAGTCTTTGTTAACTAATGACTAGCAATAATGTAATATACTATACTCTCTGATAACTGATGACTAGCAATGATGTAATGTACTATACTCTCTGTTAACTGATGAGTAGCAATGATGTAATATACTATTCTCTCTGTTAACTAAGGACTAGCAATGATGTAATATACCATCCTCTCTGTTAACTGATGACTAGAAATGATGTAATATACTATACTCTTTGTTAACTAATGACTAGGAATGATGTAATATACTATACTCTTTGTTAACTAATGACTAGTAATGATGTAATATACTATACTCTTTGTTAACTAATGACTTGCAATGATGTAATATACTATAGTCTTTGTTAACTAATGACTAGTAATGATGTAATATACTATACTCTCTGGTAACTAATGACTAGCAATGATGGAATATACTATACTCTCTGTTAACTAATGACTAGCAATGATGTACTTTACTATACTCTCAGTTAGACAGACCTAGCTTAGCCCAGTACTTACTGTTACCAGTGAGACAGACCTAGCTTAGCCCGGTACTTACTGTTACTAGTGAGACAGACCTAGCTTAGCCCGGTACTTACTGTTACCAGTTAGACAGACCTAGCTTAACCCGGTATTTACTGTTACCAGTTAGACAGACCTAGCTTAGCCTGGTACTTTCCGTTACCAGTTAGACAGACCTAGCTTAGCCCGGTACTTTCCGTTACCAGTTAGACAGACCTAGCTTAGCCCAGTACTTACTGTTAACAGTTAGACAGACCTAGCTTAGCCTGGTACTTACCCCAAGTTCTTGCTGAGGTCAAATGTCTCATACAACAGAGCCCCAAGCTCAGGGGCGGGTATAGATGTCGAATTCGCCTGAGTGTGTGTATTTTTGAATAAATGCATAAATTTCTGGAAAGAAAAAAACCCTGAGCATTGTATGGTTGAATCACATATTTTATAGCATTTCCAATTGTGGATTATATTAGGTTGTATATTAAAATGGCGTTGAATATTATTTAATGTTTAAAAGCTATTTTTTTCTTTTCTTCATGGGAAATTGTTCTTATTTCAAAACTATAAATGAGCATCAATCGAAAACATTTTGCCAAAAATTATGTTGAAAGTTCTACAATTTAGTGTAAGATAAGATATTAGATGACACGAAGTACATCTGAAATAGAAACAATGTCAGCTGATAAACCCTTCTGTGTTAGTTCACCACGGCAAATTCAGATCACTTCCAAATGTTTGGCGTCTAATATTAGTCTAAAGTTCTCTGTCGGTCGTTATTGGTTACAGAGTATTCACTCCTAGACTCGTAGACAGCACCTAGCTGTAACGTCAAGCAATTAATACTTCAACAAACAAATTATATCATTCTTCACATCTGAAACTACAACAGCCTGATAGCCAAAACTCACAAAAGTCATGATAGCCAAAACTCACAAAAGCCAATGATATAAATAAAACTGAAAACAACAAATATTTTTACAAAATAAATTGATTTTATATTCAAATTGAAGTTCCAAAGTTGAAATGTTTCCGTTTTTGAAGTTTCAGCTTCTTTGCAGTTTCCAGTTTTATCATAATTCAGAGAGTTTGGACTATTCTATACCCTTGTTTAACTTCCGTGCAACAATCTGTGATCTGTAATAGAAGATAACTTAGTCATATATAGATAGGCAAGCTTTGGCAAATATCTAACGCCAAAGAAAATGGTAAGGTCAAAGGTCAAAGGTCAAAGGTCAAAGCATAGGTTAGAGTGAGGTCATAGTGACCTAATTCTTGAACTCTGCCTTCCCTAAATGTCCTTGTACACCAAATCTAGTTACTGCAGGTGAAATAGTATAGAAGATATGCCCTGGACAAACTTTTACTAAAGTTAAGGTCAAAGGTCAAGTTATAGGTCACAGTGACCTAATTTTTGCACTCTGCACTCTGCAATCCCAGGATGTCCTTGTACATCAAATCTGGTTACTCCAGGTGAAATATGGTATAAAAGATATGTCCAGGACAAACATCTTGGACGGATTATATTAGGACGGTATGAAGGACAGATGGAGTGCAAACCTCTAGTTACCGCCAGGAACCGGTGGGGGACTAACAATATAGTTCTTATACAGGGTTTCAGATGGCAGGCTCATTGGAATCAAAATGATGAACACACAAAAAAAAAGGGCATGAATTAAAATAGCTTTTACCTTATTTCTTATAAAATACTGTAACAATGCCAGGTCAGAAAGGGCCCCACCATGTACATGCTTTATGCCCTCTTCCCTTCCCTGCTTGGTCCTTTTTTACTTGAGGCTTTTCTAACCTCTTTTATACATCTATATCATTTATTCAGTGTATCACACTTTAAAGTCAACTTTAAAGAAAATGGGTCTTTATGATTCTGAGATAAACTCCGGAAATGTAGATTAAGGTTTGGACGGACGGACAGACAGATGGACAGTGTGATTACTATATAGGGCATGCACATCTCTGATGCAGGGCCATAATAAAAATATTTTGAATATGAAACACACACATAAACTACTTTCATTCTGGGCGCCGGAAACTGTCTCCCTCCTCCCACTTCCCTCACGTAGGCTAAGCCCATGACAGTAACTAATAAATGTCCACTACATCGTACTGACATCACCAGTTACCATTGTAATTACAATCTAACTCAAATATACTTTTGATGAATGTCAAGGTCCCATTTTTGAGTCATAAAGAATATGACAGTGCAAGATCAGTGTTATTCTAAACAAAACTACTTACCTCCAATCTCAAATTAAAGACGAAGTTGAAGAAAAGGTTCAACACTTGTAGAGCCCTGCAAAGTAATCAGATATAGGAGTCATTTCCAGTTAGGTACTGGTATGCATGTCTTCTATGAATACAAATGTATTGTTAGCTATGCAAGAATTGCTTTTCACAAAATCAAAAACGGATATTCATATATATTGTAATTTGCACACTAATTTCTTTATTGACACATGAGTGGTGTACGCTGTATTTCTATGTATAAAATAACAGTTGTTATCTGCCTCTAATAACCCTAGGCCTCCTGACCATTCAGTTCCAAAAGTTACATACCTCTGATAACCTCAACAAAATGAAGTCTTCTGACTGACCTTTGTGAGATGAGTGACCCCTGTACTTAATAAACCTTGTGAACTGTATGACCCCTGTACTTACTGACCTTTGTGACCCTTGTACTGACTGACCTTTGTGAGCTGAGTGACCCCTGTACTTAATAACCTTGTGAACTGTGTGACCCCTGTACTTACTGACCTTTCTGACCCTTCTACTGACTGACCTTGTTGACCCCATGTACTGACTGCCCTTGATGATCCTTGTACTGACTGACCTTTGTAAACTGAAAGATCCCTGTACTTACTGATACTTAGCATCCACTACTGCCTGTGTCCCTGGACTCCTCTGATATCGGCCAGTGTACTGACTGACCTTTGTGAACTGTGTGACCCCTGTACTTACTGACACTTGGCGTCCACTACTGCCTGTGTCTCTGGACTCCTCTGATATCGGCCAGTCTGGTTAAAGTGTTTCATCACCTCCTCCCCTTCCTTACCTGTTGTACAAAATACACGGAAACAAAAATCAGTAAATTTCCACAATTCCACGCCCACAACCTTTCCTTATTACAAAGTATTTAGATCACTTTCATTAATTTTATTAAGGCCTGCCAAACGTGGGTTCTTTGACAAACGAAGCTGCTAAGTTACAGTTAGAAACCAAGTCCAATTCTACTTTACAAATAATGAAGGTTTAGATATGATTTACTTCCAACTGTTTGGATATCCTTTCAATGGTGGTTTCCCTGAGGTGTCTTACCGATGATATTGGGATAGGGTTTGTCATTCCGGCCATCTATCAGACTCATGAGAGGACCCATCAGCTTTTTGATATCCTCAGATTTGTAATAGAACCCAAAAGACACAAGGTAGTGGACCAATCGAAGGACCTGAAACATTTGAAACAGATTTACATGACACAAGGAACCAATCACAGTTCTTGTTGCATACAACACGCACATGTCAAAATCTGCTAAAAATTTACAACGAACAATTCTCTTAATATTTTACTTCTGATGATTAAATTATTATGAAGACCTCATTAGGATGTTGTAAAATGACAAAAGTTTGCTTCCCTTAAAATTTTACGATTTTCACCCTTGAACAACGAAGTTAATTCATTGGCAGAGGATGCATGGATAGCAATGATATATCTATAATTAACAGTGTCCATGTAATCAGCAAGTTACTGAGCAAAACTGTTTTAAAAGACAAATCGAAGGCAATAATTATTTTGAACGAACTTATTATGGCTAAAGGTGACCAAAGTAAAATGCACAGATTGAGTAATGATAAAATATCCAAAACTTAAAGTAGCTTAGAATCTGTTTCGGTCCGACATCTGTAAACCCTTGGGTTCTACAGTCTGTCGTTACGTTACCTGTTTGACCAGCGTATTGTTGCCGATCTCTGAGGCAGTCATGTCGCTGTTCTTGTTGAGGAACTTGGAGATCCAGTCACTGATAGACGGGAAGTACTTGTAGGTGGTGGACTGTGTGATGTCTATAGCATCCTATAACACACAAATATAGTTATCACAGAGATTCTCCAGACCAAAAAACGGCAAACATATTCAAAGCGGTATTGGATACTTCAAATTTGTTTTTAACTCTTTGCTTCATTTTCTAAATTCAGTTTAATTTTCAACTACCCACCAAATCTTTTGAGACAAAAGTTAGTAATTACAGTAAAACTCGGATAAGTTGAAGTCGTCTGGACCAATAATAATATTAGACTTATCTGATATGGTTTGACTATTACAGAGTTGTACAGTGAAAGAGCACTCAAATGGCCAGACACAGATTCCATCATCTATCAAAATCAGGACCAAGTGAAACATTGAAGTCATCCCTTTTATATGATTTAAGCACTTTTGACACAAACAAGTTTTACAGTAGATGAATTGATGATAACCCTCCAATTTCCAATAACTTCACATTTTCAGAATTTGCTTCTCTAACCATAGATAGAAACAGCTGACAGACTGACACATTTACTATCTGTAACTGCAGCGTTCTACTGCACCGAGGACACTTGTGTGTCTACTGGTTAAGAGGACACTTGTGTGTCTATCGGTTAGGAGGACACTTGTGTGTCTACTGGTTAGGAGGACACTTGTGTGTCTACCGGTTAGGAAGACACTTGTGTGTCTACCGGTTAGGAGGACACTTGTGTGTCTACCGGTTAGGAGGACACTTGTGTGTCTACCTGTTAGGAGGACACTTGTGTGTCTATTGGTTAGGAGGACACTTGTGTGTCTACCGGTTATCAGGACACTTGTGTGTCTACTGGTTACCAGGACACTTGTGTCTACTGGTTAGGAGGACACTTGTGTGTCTACTGGTTACCAGGACACTTGTGTGTCTACCAGTTAGGAGGACACTTGTGTGTCTACCGGTTACCAGGACACTTGTGTGTCTACCGGTTAGGAGGACACCTGTGTGTCTACCGGTTAGGACACTTGTGTGTCTATCGGTTAGGAGGACACTTGTGTGTCTACTGGTTAGGACACTTGTGTGTTTACCGGTTAGGAGGACACCTGTGTGTCTACCTGTTATCAAGACACTTGTGTGTCTACCGGTTAGGAGGACACTTGTGTGTCTACCGGTTAGGAGGACACTTGTGTGTCTACCGGTTAGAAGGACACCTGTGTGTCTACCGGTTAGGACACTTGTGTCTATCGGTTAGGAGGACACTTGTGTGTCTACTGGTTAGGACACTTGTGTGTCTACCGGTTAGGAGGACACCTGTGTGTCTACCTGTTATCAAGACACTTGTGTGTCTACCGGTAACGAGGACACATGTGTGTCTACTGGTTACCAGGACAATTGTGTGTCTACCGGTAACAAGGACACTTGTGTGTCTACCGGTTACCAGGACACTTGTGTCTTTACCGGTTACAAGGACACTTGTGTCTTTACTGGTTACGAGGACACTTGTGTAACCAGTTACTAGGGGAATATGTTGACATGAACACTTGTGTCTAAAGATTATCGAAGAAAACGAAGAACCATTGCAATATGTGTCTACACCACCCCCTTGGAGCCATGAATATAGGTACTCACCAGAACTTCAAGTGGAAACACAGTAATACTTATGGTAAATGTATGTCTCAAAATGGTAGAACTTTAAAATGGAAGCACATTTATGCAAAACAAATTTTCAAATAATTTCATAACAATAGTGAAAGTTTAACAACATCTGATAATATTATTAGACGACAATATCAGGGTTTTTTTTATCAAAATTGAATCTCATAATTTATTTATATATTGAAATTAATCTGATAGTCTCTAAATATATTTAACTATCAAAATAACTGAAAATCTATTTTTCTTAAAACCACAACTAGGTAAATAAAATCTACTTTTCAAAACAGTAAAAAGTAAAAAGCTGAGTTTTTCTTAGTCATTTATCATAAAATCCTCCATTCAGAATTCATTATTTCCTGTTAACAGAAAATATATTCTAGCTAAAACATCTAAAATAACTACAAATAAAGCTAATAGCTTTTTACAAATCAAGATATTTTATTTAATCTAATAACAATAAAACACCTACAGTGAATGTGCACTTTTTTTGGATTAAGCTGTTTTTAACCGATATTTTCAAAACCCTCGGTATCTAATCATGTAAGGGAAGAGTAATAAGGACATTTCGTACATTATTATCTAACATGGAATTTTTTGTTACTATTTCTATGACTGTAATTGGGGTAAAATGTGTTAAGCGCATCTATATTTTACAAATCAAAATAAATTTGTGAAATTTTCTGCCTTTTAAAGAAGGAAAGTTGTTTTTTCACCAAATGGTTGATTTACGGTACATTCAAATGTTAGGAACATTATATAACTATTCTTTACTGTAATTTTAATTTGTAAATTTTTTGGAACAAATTTGGGAAAACAAAATATTTCCCTGGGAAAAGGGCTAAATTTAACAAGTTCAGTGATTTTATTATACAGTTTTGGCATCAAATCTCCTGCAATTTCTCATTATTTTACTTTATTTCCAAATAGAATCTATTTTCCCATAAATGTGAAGGAAACAAAAATACACAATGTAATGAAAAGCATGATATCAAAAAAGTTAGTTTTTCATTTTTTTTTGTCGATTTTCAATTTAAATGATATTTTTGATAGATCATAATCTTAAGGTTTTAATATGTGTTGATTTGAAAGCCAGATGTATCTTTAGGACATGAAAAATTATCAGTGACATGTGTTAAGGCAGGGGGAGACAATTCATTGAAAGCTCGCAGGATTGTGTGGCTACATGGTAGCTAATACATCTAGGCTTATACATCAAGGTATCATACGACAGAAACAAATTGATACAAAAAACACAACACAGATTACAATATAGTCACATGACAACTAACAGTGTTCGACACTACTACAACATCAAAATATCAGACATTTATAACAATATCAAGTCACTTTGACCCTAATCATTAATCATTAAAGAGGTACACATTTCTAAACAAAACAAACTATTCCCTACTTCCCAAATTGGAGTTGTTTCCAAGAAAATGAAAAAAAACCCAGGTACAATTGTTGTGCTTTCAAATAGGTTAAGTGATTTTCCCAGCTTGTAGCCAAGCATTAAACATTCCAATGTTTCGTGTTTAATTTGTGATCAAAATTATAATATCTTATCTAATTACAAGATCTTCAGTTTGAACATGTCCTACAGTGCTGTATCTAAATACTGAAGTTAACTCGTCACCCAAAACCTAGACAAAGAAATTAGCCAAAATAAGTTCTTTGTAAACAGCATATCACATCTTACTTTGCTTTAACACTTGTAGTAAGCACCAGATGGATGAACGCTTCTACAAGAGACCATGAGGACTATCACCCCACCCCAACATGTAATATCAGTATCCTAGGGTGGTTTTGTATTCTGAAATACGTAACAGACATCAATAGATACTAAAGTGATATCGTATTTACCATCTTCCTTTGGTTAACACATTATGATATATACCCAATATTGCATTCACAAATAAATCTTACAAGACTATGCTACAAATTATTCAATTTAAGATTAAGCATGCGGCAGGATGGAAAGCTAATACATGCATAGCTAACTTGTACATTCACTCCACCCTTGATACCCCAGGTGTTTCGCTCACTTACGCTCTCTGCACTCCTGGAATATGTCACGACAAAATTGAAGGCTCAGTGTGTGCAATCTTGAGGACGAGACAAAGAAAGCTAGTTTGATCCTGGATGTACATCAAACATATCCCGCATTACCATAATGGTAAAACTGACTTCCTTTGAAGTCGGATGTAGCACCTCTGTAATCTTCAAAGAACAAGTATCAACCAAGCGATTGGTCAGGTTTTTTTTAACCTGAGACCAATTAAATAGCAATCTACGCGCCTTCAATTTTGTATGACATATTCCAGGAGTGCAGAGAGCGTAAGTGATCATAACCCCTGGAGTATCGAGGATGATTCCACTCTGGCCGATATCTACATGTACTTACCACGAAATCATGCTGTTAATGTTAGAACACACATGTTAACATGAAATGCAGTGCTGTATCTAACCAGTAACTAAAATACTGTGTTCCTCCTAACATCTCCACCGCTCCTTATTCTTACAATGGAACACCGATACAGAAAATATACATGACAGAGATATTCTTATTTTAGTTCTTTCCATATTGTGTTAAATTTCAATTGCACAAGTTTGAAGTTACCATGTGTTGTTTTCTATATGGCATACAGTGTCAGTGCCCGAACCTGTCAATGTGTTAATCCGTTAAAATCTGTGAGCGCTAAAATAAGTATGATTTACAGTTTTTAAAGTATTCATGTTTTTCCTCCCATATTCAAGTGTTTGATTGAAGCAGAGACTTTTGTTAATAAGAGGCAGAAATGGCTAGGTATAGGTGTATATTTGTAACATTTTTGATCATTAGCCTAGAAAAGCCTCAAACAGACTCAAATATTTCCTTCCTGATGCTTAGCAAAGAGTTTGTAGTAAATTTCCAGGAAACTTTATTATTTTGCTTCTGAAAACCAAAGTAGTTAGTCTAAGGGCTGCAAAGATTGGTAATTTAAGTAGCAGAGAGTTTATAATTATTAGGAAATCATCAAATTATAAAAGTTGATGGATACAGTATATTACATGTGAACATTTTCACACTCTTGACACCTGGCTTCACTTAAAATTATATAAGATATATGTTAACATAATTGCTGTTCTTAAGATTAAGATATATAGTTTAGCCTATTTGTAAACCATGGTCAAGAGATCATATTAAAATAAATAATAGATGAATTTATTTGTGATAGGAATGAAAAATTCAATGGCCAGATGATGATTCTAAATCAGAACCTCCTAACTGTACGCAATAGTACCAACCAGCAGATTTTTGGCAGAAAAATATCTATTTCCATAATTTTTCTCCCTGAAAAGTTTTGGATGGAAACAATGTTGAACTGCATCAGACTGTCAAACTTGTATATAAACTAGAACACTGACAGGTCAGTAAGGGCCTCGTCTTGTGGCAATATATCCCCTATAATCATCAAGAAGCGATCTGCCCATATAGCTGAGCTTGACGTTTGACATTTGGACTTCAAAAAGAATCACAAGGAAGCAAAATATACATTTTACATGTACTATGATGTGAGTCTAGTTTCCTTCCACCTCCATATTTGCTGGGCTAACAGAAATGTAAATACCAGTGCAACACTCATTTGTTAGCTTTGATTTGTTTTATTTCACCTTATATACCTCCTCCATCAAGAGCCAGGGTAAAGTCAGAGATCCACTTTGTCTTTGACCTTTGGACCCGAATGACCTTGACCATTAACCCAGTGACCCTGATCTTTGGTCAGTTGAATTATTATCCAATTCAGACCAACTTTACTTCTTAATATCATAACAAAATGTTCATCAGTGAAAAATACAAAACTTGACCTTGACCCTTTGGACCCTGTGACCTGGACCTAAGGTCAGTTGACTCTGTGTTAAGTTATGAACAACATTGCTTCATAATGTCATAACAAAATGTTCATCAGGGAAAAGGTACAAAATTTAACCTTGACCTTTGACCCAATGACCTTGACCTTTGGTCAGTCGACTCCTTGTTTAATTCGGAACACTTTGCTTCATAATGTCATAGCGAAATGTTCACCAGTGAAAAGCTACAAAATTTGACCTTGACCACTGACCCGATGACCTTGACCTTAGGTCAGTTGACTCCTTGTTTAATTCTGATCAACTTTGCTTCATAGTGTCATAACAAAATGTTCATCAGTGAAAAGATGTAAAATTTGACCTTGACCTTTGAACCTAATGACCTTGACCTTTGACCTTGACTTTTTACCTCAATGTGTATTTTTGTGAACTGAACATCCTGATCAAGTTTCATGTACATCGGTCCATAGATACCAAAGTTATCAGCCAGGAACAAAATTTGTGGACGGACAGACAGACAGACAGAGTAATTACTATAGGGCACACGTAGCTCCGATACGGGCCCCTTATAATCTTTGTGCTTACAACCTATCAGCCACAGGCTAGAGGTACACAACTTCTGATTGGTGACTACATCAATGTAGTGTCAGGCAAAATTCTGTCTATAGACGCAAAGACGGCCGGCCTGCCAGCCTCATTCAACATATCCACCCTGCTCTTTCTTGTAGAATATAAGCTGTACGCAGCTAAAAATATGGAAACCTGTATCTGTTTGGGGAATTAAGCAAACAAGTTAATATTTTTTTCATTATATTAAATTTGACCTCCATTAAATGACAATTTCAGGTTTTGGGATGTTGCAGTAATTACGTTTTAAACATGTCAAGCAGTAATTACATTGTAAACATGTCAAGCAGTAATTATGTTTTAACCATGTCAAGCAGTAATTACGTTTTAAACATGTAAAGCAGTAATTACGTTTTAAACATGTCAAGCAGTAATTCCGTTTTAACCATTTCAAGCAGTAATTACGTTTTAAACATGTCAAGCAGTAATTACGTTTTAAACATGTCAAGCAGTAATTATGTTTTAATCATGTCAAGCAGTAATTACGTTTTAAACATGTAAAGCAGTAATTACGTTTTAAACATGCCAAGCAGTAATTACGTTGTAAACATGTCAAGAAAGGTTCTTACCGGTGTTTGCACCTGTAATAGTTAATATACAATATAGTAATTAATGCTGATCATGAGTCAAGTCACCATGTATGTTTTGAAAATTTCAACATCTACATCTACCGCGAGTAGGATCTGGGATAAGCTAGGTCATAGTGCTAATACCCGACTATATATATTTGAAATATATGAACTTCAAGTCCTGGTCTTCATTTGGTTTTTCATTTTGAGATCGTGAATGAAATATCCAACAAATATTCACAAGTTGTACTTTAGTACTCAACTCATGGAGTTGCTACGAAAAAATGTAGAGCCTCTCATTTACATTTTTCAAAATATCGACTTCCATAACATTAACTATGTAGATATTTTTTGTCATAAATAAAGAATTGTTTTCAACATTTTCCCAGACAATTATCACACATAGTAAAATGACATAGCAGTTGTGAAAACCTGTTGGATCAACACACACAAAAAATGAGACTCCAAAGTCAGTATAGAGACTAAATGGAATAGACTATAATCCAGTAATTATAAGATATTCATGCAATTTGTACAGCAATAAATATGGAACTGACTTATAATCCAGTAAGATATTCATGCAATTTGTACAGCAATAAATATGGAACTGACTATAATCCAGTAAGATATTCATGCAATTTGTACAGCAATAACTATGGAACAGACTATAATCCAGTAAGATATTCATGCAATTTGTACAGCAATAAATATGGAACTGACTATAATCCAGTAAGGGATACATGCGAAGAGAAGATGATATAGACCTAGCACCACGCCGAGAGTCCGGAAGGATTGAGGGGTGGGCGACAGTGGCGCATTCCAAACTAACCGTGATAACTCCTGTGATTTAGTGGTATTAGGATCATGTCAGGTTAGATCGCATTTACAAACAGTTACCAGAACCGGTTTGTTCTCTAAGTGGCTTTCCACTATGGCCTTAGTCCCTTCACTAAGTGGACGAAGAGTATTATTTCTAAGAGCCGATCCCAAGTTTCTAATAGCACTGTCCCGGCGACTTAGAGGTCGGTTAGGCCGCTTAAATTTGGCCTGGGAATCTTGGGTGCGAGATTCCGGGCTTTGAGCATCCTGCAATATGTCATCAGACATTGATTTCCATCCAAAAATTTACAGAAAATAAACTTTTTTTCTTACGTTTGAAAATTATCTAGTGAGTGTCAGATTTTATAAAGACTTTCATTACATACAGCTGGGTATCAGTAGAAATAAATATTTCCACTACTAAACCTCATAACAATTTTTTCTTTTCTTTTAAAAGTATTAAATGTTTAAAGATGTTAAAAAGTTTAATAACGGTCTGTTACAGTGGAAGGTTTATCGATAAAACTCTAGGCAAATTGTTATATTTAGCTTTCATCATCTTAATCTCTATAAAAACTTTTTTAGGATATATACAAATATGAATAAATAGAAATTCTGTTTCAAAGCATGAGACTAAGTGTTATTACTGATACAGAAATAAGCCATCAGATATTGCAGTGACTAATTGGTTAATATATGCTTGAAATATTTTCAACTTTAGACCAGTTAAATGTTACACACAAAAAGTGAGTAACTGATCAAAACAAAAGTGTTAATTGAGCCCTGATGAAATTAGGATAGCATTTTGTGAGAAGGAGTAACACTGGTGAAGATGTACACCTACCTCAAACTGGTCAATTTCATCGTAGATGTAGGACAGCTTGACTCGGTCAATCACAGAATGGTTGTCACCAATATCAACAAACATGGCTGTCAATGAAAAGTGTGAGCATTATAACACTACCAACAAACACAGAAGCCAATGAAAAGTGTGAGCATTATAACACTACCAACAAACATAGCAGCCAATGAAAAGTGTGAGCATTATAACATTACCAACAAACATAGTAGCCAATGAAAAGTGTGAGCATTATAACACTACCAACAAACATGGCAGCCAATGAAAAGTGTGAGCATTATAACACTACCAACAAACATAGGAGCCAATGAAAAGTGTGAGCATTATGACACTACCAACAAACATAGGAGCCAATGAAAAGTGTGAGCATTATAACATTACCAACAAACACAGAAGCCAATGAAAAGTGTGAGCATTATTACACTACCAACAAACATGGCAGCCAATGAAAAGTGTGAGCATTATAACATTACCAACAAACATAGAAGCCAATGAAAAGTGTGAGCATTATAACATTACCAACAAACATAGCAGCCAATGAAAAGTGTGAGCATTATAATTTTACCAACAAATTAAACATAGCTGAATGGTTTTATCGACTCTCTGACTTACTGATGATGAGGTCGCAGTACTGGGCACGTAGCTGGTCAGGCAAGCGGTGATCACTGAGACAGGTGAACGCCTCATCCCAGGTAAGGTAGTTGAGTTGTTCGGTGATTACTTTGATGGAAAAGTCATTCTGGCCCTGGAACACATTATAAATGACTACTGCAACACAACATACATCTTCCCATTGCCAAGTCTATGTGGTTTCCGTGTCATGCCTTTTAAGTGGCATAGTTTACAATGAAACTTTTCTAATCTGACAACTGCTGGGACACAACACATCAGCCAGAATAAGCAGGATGTCAATATACANGGGGGGGGGGGGGGGGGGGGGGGGGGGGGGGGCAGGTAACACAAAACGAGAATAAAAGGGGTTTCTTTTTTTGTCTTTTAAGTGCAAATAGACAAAGCAGCCACCATACATTTGAGTGTTTTCATTAAAACTAGGATTACAGCATTATGTTGGATTATACAAGATGGTGGAATACTCCGGGGACGACTTACACAGGTCTCACTAGTTTTATGTTGATCAATATAACTATTATGTTTCAGAGAAATAGTTTCAGGGGTATACGATATTAACCAATGGCATTCGTTGACGTGTTAATCAGGCCCCGGTAGAGTGCAGTAAGGTTTACTTACGTGACATAGCATACCAAACAGCTCCAGCTGATGGACTAAGAATAAGTACGTCTCGTCATTGTCGTGACGCTGAAACATCATACAACACCAATATACATATCTGTGGAATTATTAAAGTTCAACTGAGAACATCTATATATCACTCTTAAAAGATATTTTTCCATATAATAAAACTTAACTCAAACTCATCTGCATTTTCAGGGCATTCAAATTTTGTAATAAAGCATTAAACATTAGATTTAAATAAAACATGCATTCTGTTGGGATAAGTGTTTAAGTCAACCTCATTTTCGTGTACCTACCATTTGCCAAACACTACTAATCATAACTCACCACACAGATGTAGGCATCAATATAAAGAAGAAAATACAGCTGGAAATATCTCAAAAAGTAAACTCTTACTATTAACTCACACACCCAAAGAAATATAGGATTCAATTCCCACCAGATATTGGAACTACCCATCTATACAGCTGCACAGAATAGAGTAATTACATCAAAAGCTACTACAATGGAACACATAACTATGAAGAAATTCTCTGCTCAAATCCAGTCAGTATTTTTCTACTGTACTACTTGATGTTGTTCCCAGTCTCATGTATACAGCCACTTAGTCATCTGACACAAGTTCCACAGGAGAGGGTACCTTCCCTATATGGGGTTTTCAGAAATCCCCAAGCCAGTCACTCCACTATAAAATTCAGTGATTTCCAACTCTTGGATACAAAGGAAATGAGGAAATCATTACAAGTAGATTATATATATCGAAGGATAACTAAATGTGGAACTCTTTTTTCACTAATATAAAACACAAACAACATCAACATGCATTCTTTAGACCCACCAATAAAGGGTTGCAGCTCACCTCCTTTTTCAGTAAACAATCTCATATTCTACAACTACTGCTTAAAGTGGACTGACTGGTAATATTTCCTAACAACATTCACACAACGTTGGATACAACGACTTGCTCAAGTTTAGCTATAATATATAGTAATAACTTGGTAAGAAGAAATATAAGTGATAACAAATTTAAAAGATACAATACAGGAAAAAAATCACAATATTGTAGGGTTTAATAAAATCTTACATCATCAGCATCAGTCTCATCTTCCTGCATGAATTAATCGTCATGAGTCATAACTATATAATAATACAGAATGTTTCTTAAACATTAATCAAGAACTATCTTCTTTAAATGGGAATGTCAGGAAAGTTCCATGCCTTTGCCAAACTAAAGGTCATATTAACAGGTTATCATATGACCATTTCCATACCCTACCCCGTATCAACAAGAGACCTAATGAAAAAGTTAAATATCAGCCCTTCCCCGGCTGATATGGGTCGAGGTTTGATATGGGGTAGGATATGGAGAAGGTCATGTCTTAACCTTTTTATCATATAATACACACTGGAACTGTATTAGTATGCATCAGAATTATTCTCCATAATGGGAATCAAGTGCAATTGAGGCATAATTTGTTGAGCCGGAAGTAAAACTGATATGGCGTGGGTTTGGCAGATATGGCACATGCTGGCGGATATGGCTAGTGCTGGGAAATGGCCTATGCACAGCTAGCAGTATCACTCATGCAAAACAACCCATATCACAGAGAGGCCTATTAGTTAACATCATATGCAAAACAACCCATATCACAGAGAGGCCTATATTACAGATTGAAATGTACTGTACCAGTTAGTAACATTATATACATTGCAACCTAATTTGATAATGACATGAAACAAGTTCTCTCCATGAAGCCACACTTTTAATACATAAAAGTCTTCTGTAGCAAAAACAAATTTATTTATTTTTACTGAATGTACATAAAGGGATTGACAAAACGCTTGGTTCTCGAGTTATCTTACCTTAGCAAATTCAGCGAGTTCCATCCATGTTTTACACATGTTGGTGGAGACATAAATGACTCCCTGCATCTTCCCAATCTTCTGACCCAGGTCTGTGTTAAACACACAGTTCTGAAACACACAACACAAGGTTAAGGTTCTATTCCATTACAGATTTCACAAGAATAAGTCATAGTTTACATTATTATCAATATATTGATGTAGTATAAAATGATTTGTCAGTTTAATCCTACCTGCTAGTTTCTATAGATTTTAGAGTGGTGAGCAAAGCTAAAACAACTTCTCATTCATGCATTTGGTTAAAATTTTGGAAAAAGTCTATAGGAAGTAATAGTTTTATCTCCGAAAAATGAAAGTTTTGTTAGCAAAATTTTCCAAACTTACCCTTGTTCCTTTCATGAGCCAGACTTCGGTGATGTATTTCTGATTGTCAGCGATTGATACACCGTCACAGACACACAGTACACTGAGGAGATCTAAGTATCGGTAGTTCTGGAACAAACCAAACACATTTACAATACCACTTCATAATTAAACACAATCATCTATATACTATAAATTATGAATCAAAATTTGCTGTTAATTTTAAAAGTCCAGAATTACGGGAGAGTTACTTCCCCTTATAGTAGCTTGCTGATTTCTGAAATATCAAATTACCCTACAAAGTTGATGAATGTGGTAAATACCCCTCCTTACTAGAACATATCATAACCTACACTAGAATACAAACTGAAGTAGATAATAGCGACATTATGTCTCCCTGGTAAAATACCAGTCACTTCTTATCGACTCAGCTAGAGATTATTTTTCTTCAACTTATTTGGTATAGCATCAGACTAGTAAGTCGGAAGTCCCAGGATTGAGTCCTGACGGAGGCAAAGAAGAAAATAATGACCTCTGTACGTTACAGTTATGTAGTGGAATATTTTGATACAACTAGTAAGATTACCTTGTCCCTGCGAAGAAGCTCCACAAACTTGTCAATGTGTTCGTGGGATATCCTGTCCACAATTTTCCTGTTGTCTCGGATCAGCTCCATAACCATGTGAGCAGCATTCAGACCGATCTGTCCCTGTAAAGTCAGCAAACAGGTCGTAAGATAATCCTCTCTTGTTGGTGGAAATATATCAGGGTTAATTATGTACTTGTTCCCTTTCCACAAGATTTACTTTTGATCACTTGCTTTAACAAGAGGCCCATGAGCCTAAACGGTCATCTGACTACAAAGACTGAGCAGGGAAAATGGTAACTTTTCAACTTTCAATGAAACATTCTAAGGATTTTGGTCAGCAGTGGGTAACTTTTTGTCAGTAAATCTATCAGAAAGCATTTAAACCTAAATCTGAATAGATTTCTCCTTTTAAGGCCCCATCCCGCTGGCAACAGTGGTTAAACCTGCCTCATTTATATGAGAAATGATTGTTTCTAAATGATGTTTCATACTGAAATTGTTGTAATCTACTTTTGACATTAACGAGTAGTATTTAAAAGCAGGATTTTAGGTAATTTCCTTTCTTGGGGCAATGCCCTCTCTATCCCCCAGGGGTCGAACCAACCTCATTTATTCAAGAAACGATTGTCCTCCTTCCCCCCGCCCCCACCCCTAATGATATTTCAGACCATATTTGGTTGCAATATCCATTTTAATAGACATTAAGGAGGAATAGCATTTTAAAGCAAATTTATAGCTTAGTTCGACTTTCGAGGCCCCGAAACATTCCCACCAATTTTTAGCTCAATGGCACCAGTGGAACTGTAGAAGAAGTTCAAGAAGTGTTTTTCAAGATGGCGGCCATCTTGGATTTCAGACCAACCCGAAAAATAAAAACACTTGGTCAGGACCATCTAAGGATCATTTCAGGCAAGTTTCAACTCAATCCCACTGGTGGAACTTGAGAAGAAGTTTAAAATATGTGTTGTTTAGGAAAACTATGATTGCACAATCATGTTGCAAAATGGCAAAAAGTTTTGACGGGGCTGAAATATTATCAACACTTTGTCGGCTTCCTTTCCTAAACATCCGCAACAATTTTTAGCTCAATGGCACCAGTGGAACTGGAGAAGAAGTTTAAAATGTGTTTTTTTAGGTGTTGGCCATCTTGGATTTTGGACTGACCCGAAAAATAACAACACTTGGTCAGGACCATCTCAGGATCATTTCAGGCAAGTTTCAGCTCAATCCCACTATTGGAACTTGAGAAGATGTTTAACCATCGGCTTCCTTTCCTTAACATCCCCACCAATATTTAGCTCAATGGCACCAGTGGAACTGGAGAAGAAGTTTAAAATGTGTTTTTTAAGATGGCGGCTGTCTTGGATTTTGGACTGACCCGAAAAATAACAACACTTGGTCAGGACCATCTCAGGATCATTTCAGGCAAGTTTCAGCTCAATCCCACTAATGGAATTTGAGAAGAAGTTTAAAATGTTGAAAGTTTACGGACGACGCACGGCAGACAACGACAGACGAAGCACGTTGACGATAGGTTATCCTGACCCTTTGGGTCAGATGACCTAAAAATGGTACTGCCAAATCAATCAAAAAATATGGTAAGATACTTCTCAGGTATTTGTACCCACCTCTTTGTACTCAAACTGTGAGAGGAAGAAGTCAATGTACTTGGCAATGTAGAGCTCATTCTTCCTGCTGTCTCCCATCAGGTAGGTGTACAGAACATCGTAGGCCTCCACGAATATCCGGGTCAGGTGGCTGTACAACACAGAAAAAGACACCTTCTCACCATTGAAACGTCATTTTTAATTCTTCAAAATCCTAAATAACCAGCGACATATGTTTCTTTTTAGATTTCAAAATTCTGAATAATGGAACAAGAGTATTAAAAGATTTGAAGGAATTGGTTTGATTATGAAGTCAACATGATGTATTTTGTTTTATAATATACAGAAGGGATTCCATATGAAATTACCACTGTGTATATTTCAGTTCCTACGGATACTTACAGCTGATCGGGACTTCCTCTAAACGGTATTTGTAACAGCTGAACCAGTAGTTCTACAATCTACAAAACAGAACAGGAAGTATGAATATTCCGTTAAAAAATGTAATACTTAGATTACATTGCGACATTGACTTTTTCGAGTAATGTACAATGTAGTACAATATTAATACTCATTATCTACTCCTAGGTTACCTAATGGATGACATCCCGTAAGGGAAACCTGTTTCGTATGGAAATCTTTGGGGTATCGGATATACTGATTGCAAAAAATTTGAGCTGCTTAAAAGTTACAGCCAAACACACTAACATTAAAACACCTTTTTCACCTTTGACACTTGCTTATTAATAATGAAACTTAAGCTTTAAGGTCAAGAGAGGTTTAACAACATCGTGTTTTGAAGTCTTCGGTCCAAATTGGTATAATGATGTCTGATCAAACAAAACAATATTCATTTACCCTAAGGTTCCTCATCAGCTTCTGGCGTTTCTTGCTTGGTACACTGTTGACAACCATGAATTCTCTCATCTCAGACAAGGCCTGAAATATCAATGAAGGATGTAAGACTAATACCAAACCATTATATACCGACTATATCTATAATCACTAGTATATTAACAATACATGACAGTAAGGAGTACAATGGTGAAAGAGTTTATTGCAAATTATCAACTGAAAATTACCTGGTATTGTTATAAACAACTGTAATAGGAAAGAAAGTATCATAGTGTGCATCCACCTGGGATTGAACCCCGACCCCCAGCTGCCTAGTCCATTCTCTACCGATCATGCTAAAGGGAAATTCCCTCTAGCGATAAACTAGAAGGCGACTGTAATCCTATTTACAATTAAAATCTACCACACTTCATGAAAGCAATCAATACAAAATATGGCATATTATACTAAAGCCCTTCTACATCTATTTCCTACTTGTAAACTGATGTAATTCTACTTACAGTGAGGGCATCGTGGGCCATTTTCGCATTCAGTGTTAAGCCGCTGTTTTTCTGCAATAAAATCAATATTACACATTATTTCTGAAGTGCTATGTTTATGTATATGGAAAAATAGCATGACCAACTGCTACTTCAAAGGTCTTTCTTTCTGTTCAATTTTGAAAAAGATGAAGACTGCTTTCGATTGCAAACGGGTCCTATACATGTTACTTGGACTGATACATTTGGAACCCTACAAAAAGTCCCAGGATTTTTGCTAGCTATTTTGGGAAAGGGTGCCTGAGCAGGAATCGGAAAAATATCATCAGTGTTCCCACATGTACAGGTTTGGGAAAATATTATAAGTTTGGAATAAATTAAACCTGCAATTTGATAAGCAAAAAGTTTTCCTCTAGCTGTTTGTTTCAGTAAAATGTATAGCAATAAATAAACAAATACATTTTCCGTGTTTTGTTTATCCAATTTCAAATTTTCGCAACCTATATATTATAAATGCTCTTCCATGGACAGTAATACTTTGAACATTGCACATATTATGACTGGAGACTTTTATTAACATGCTTTTTAATCCAATGAAATCCACAGGTTAGTTGAGGATGAGTTGCATGGACAAGCATTTCGCACAAAGGGGCATAACTCCATCAAAAAGGGTTGAAATCCACAAACAAAAGATACTGATCATTCATGCAAAGTTTCAATGAAATCCACCTGATAGTTAAGGAGGAGTTCTCCGGACAAGTTACTGTGGCAACAGACAGACAGACAGACAGACAGACAGACAGATGGTAATTTCAGTAACCCCTCCCCCCACTAACTTTGTTGCTGGGGTATAAAGATTTTCATACATTATCCTGGGCAAAAGGCAATTAATTAGGCAACACAAATTTAAAGTATGTTCTTTTTGATATTTCTAGTAAATCTATATCATGTACAGAAACAATGATTTTATTGTTATCACAGAAACGTAATCAAGCAGCTAACATATACCCATGTACTCAGTGCTCCTCCCGGACAGTACAATCCTACTCAGTCAACCGTGACTGGCTGATGATTGATGAGTTTTAGGTCGTTTGTGTCGCATACCACGATCGTTAACAGATAGGTAAAATACGTCTATCATCACAACAAAAATGCTTTTATTCCTATGTACAGCAGACAGGATAAAATATTAAACACCCCTAGCAACCATAATTATAACAGGTCAGGAAACAGTGCTTTTGACTTTTCATCAAATATTCATGTGTCTCCCAATACCAGCCAACAACCTGACAGTCAATCAATCTAAATGTGTATTTGACAAAACAGATACAAATTTCAATGATGGAAATGAACATTGTACTTCAGCAGTAACTGTAGACCATGGACAGTTGGATAATCTTTGTTATTTCTATTACTATTATCAGTTCGATCTCTTGTAGTCTATTATCATAACAAAGATATACAGGCTATGTATAATTGTATAGCTGTATCTACTCACAGGGTTGTTCTCATGTATTTTACATGGGCCATATCAATACCAAATGTTCATGCAAACAAATAATTTACTGATTGTCACAATATTTATGTGTGTGTTTGTATCTATAGGTGTATTTGATTAAAAAAAATATCCTCCTTATAATCCTTAATTTGGGAAAAAAATAGAAAAGTGCCAAGATATATCATACAGCAGCACAACGTTTATCTTCGGCAAGTTAGCATCATGAATAGAAACTGGCAGAGCGAATGTATCTTTGATATACATAGAGCTGAACTCGGCTTTATTGGCTTAGAGGTGTCTCCTTCACATAATTAGAGGTGTCTCCTTCACATAATTAGAGGTGAACTTGAATCCTTCACATAATTAGAGGTGAACTTGTCTCCTTCACATAATTAGAGGTGAACTTGTCTCCTTCACATAATTAGAGGTCAACTTGTCTCCTTCACATAATTAGAGGTCAACTTGTCTCCTTCACATAATTAGAGGTCAACTTGTCTCCTTCACATAATTAGAGGTCAACTTGTCTCCTTCACATAATTAGAGGTCAATCTTAAGCTTGTGTTGTTGACAAAGAAGTAAAAAAAAAGTCTCCTTGACATGTAGGTCAAACTTCAGTGTGTGTCTTTGACATGTAGGTCAAACTTAAGCTTGTGTCTTTGACATGTAGGTCAAACTTAAGCTTGTGTCTTTGACATGTAGGTCAAACTTAAGCTTGTGTCTTTGACATGTAGGTCAAACTTAAGCTTGTGTCTTTGACATGTAGGTCAAACTTAAGCTTGTGTCTTTGACATGTAGGTCAAACTTAAGCTTGTGTCCTTGACATGTAGGTCAAACTTAAGCTTGTGTCCTTGACAAGTAGGTCAAACTTAAGCTTGTGTCCTTGACAAGTAGGTCAAACTTCAGCTTGTGTCCTTGACAAGTAGGTCAAACTTCAGCATGTGTCATTGACATAGATGTTAAACTTAAGCTTGTGTCCTTGACATGTAGGTCAAACTTCAGCGTGTGTCATTGACATGGGGGTCAAACTTAAGCCTGTGTTGTTGACACAGAGGTCAAAGTGAACTTGTCTCCTTCACATAATTAGAGGTCAACTTGTCTCCTTCACATAATTAGAGGTCAACTTGTCTCCTTCACATAATTAGAGGTCAACTTGTCTCCTTCACATAATTAGAGGTCAATCTTAAGCTTGTGTTGTTGACAAAGAAGTAAAAAAAAAGTCTCCTTGACATGTAGGTCAAACTTCAGTGTGTGTCTTTGACATGTAGGTCAAACTTAAGCTTGTGTCTTTGACATGTAGGTCAAACTTAAGCTTGTGTCCTTGACAAGTAGGTCAAACTTAAGCTTGTGTCCTTGACAAGTAGGTCAAACTTCAGCATGTGTCATTGACATAGATGTTAAACTTAAGCTTGTGTCCTTGACATGTAGGTCAAACTTCAGCGTGTGTCATTGACATGGGGGTCAAACTTAAGCCTGTGTTGTTGACACAGAGGTCAAAGTGAACTTGTCTACTTGACATGATTAGAGGTCAAACTTACATCTTTGACAAGTTTCTGTATGAAGGGCACCATGCCTGCCATGTAGTTAAATATCTCCACCAACTCCGGCTCCACGGACTGTATGGTGAAGGCATCATCATACTGTTTCTCCGGTATAGCTCCCACCTGTAATCATACATCAGTCTTAAAATACTTTATCCCATATAAGTGCTCCCTATTCTTCTGGTTAGAGTGTTTGTTTCTATATTTTTACCTTTTTTACTTTACAATTGTCTGCAATTATTCTAATTTTCCCATATTGATAAATGCCTTGGGTGTTTATTTGGTTATATATGGTATGTTGACATAATATTATCATACTTTGGGTAGTTCTGAATACATTTTTAATTTCAGTGTCAAAAAAAAGAAACTACTTATTTTAATATTTTTTATCATATACATTTTTAAAATAACATGCTGCATTAAGGTTGATTGATTAGCTAAATGAAATCTTATGAGAACACTCATCTAAATCATCTAGATGTACAACAGTGTTATTTTTAAAAGTATAATCATGAACAATTCTAAACCAAGTAAATTATCATGAAATGATCACTAATTTGATGATGTTTAGACAACCAACGTTCCTGAAAATTCAAAATGTTAGATTTGTTAGTATATGTATAGAAGTTAGTGGGCAGTCTTTCCTATCTCAAACACAGTATTCCTTAATCAGTGACTATGTCATCATCAATAGGTTTTCTATTTGAAATCTTAATCAGGATACAGTACAGGAAACAACAGAAGTGAGTTCAGTATATATATATATCACAGTACTAGTCTACACTACCATTTCCAATAGCAAACCCCAATCACTGCTCGACAACAGCAGGTCATTTAAACTTCAGTTTTACAACATTGAGGCAATCAGCCTTTTTTCAAATGTAAAATGACACTCTTAGAAATGGTGTAAAATATATTAGAAATTCATGGTAAGATTGTAACATTTTAAAAAGTCTGATAGGAAAACATTCAGTTGAATTGCATATAAAAGATGTTTATAAACTTGTGAAGCAAAACGGCACAGCTATGTATAAAGCATATTGCCTCATCTACTTCTTTGTAGCATTGTGTATTAGTCGAATCATCATCGTCTTATCCTGAAAACAAAATATCATGCAAATCACTGCAGGACTTAACACATTTCTATCAAACCTACAATTACATGCACAATGCACACGGTTTTGTAAAATAACAAAACAAAAACAATGATAAAGTATTTGTTTATCATTCACATTCCTTGCTAATACAATGTAAAGGAGAGTACTGTTATATATATATACACATCAGTTATACCCATTCTACTCTAAATATATCACATACACTGGAACCCACTTATTATGATATCGGTTATTATGATATATTTCGGTTATTATGATATTTTTCCCATGTACCGATTTTTTCCTTCTTTAACTAAGCAAACAAATATCGTTTATTACGATATGGTCAAAGGTGGGACCCCACTTATTATAGCTAACACACACAACCTCATGCATACTGTACTATCTTCAAGTTGATCATTTTCAAGTCAGGATCTTACATTAAAAGTGAACATGTTCACGGTGTGGAAATTCTCATGTTCTTTGCGTAGAGTAAATCATATTGAGGTGTGAATAAATCAATGCATGTTTATATAGATTATAGATCTATAGAGTAGAGAGATAGATTTCACAAATCAATGCATGTTTATATAGATTATAGATCTATAGAGTAGAGAGACAGATTTCACAAATCGGTAACAATGCTAACTAAACACTGCAATAAATTTAAAGATTCACCCCCCACACATTCCATATTTTAGATTATTATATACATGAACATTTCTCGCAATCACATTGTCAGACGACATTAGAAGATGACTGCTGGCGAACGTTTCTCCTCCGTTAGGAAAATTACCAAAACTATTCGAGGATGTAGATGCTGTTGGCGTAAAAAAATGCCATTGAACACGCAGTGCATGTCCTCCATGCTTATCTTAAGAAAAAAAACTAGACGATGCCTTCGAAAGCTATAATGCTGAACTGTTGTATTCCTGGCTAAATTTTACACGGAGGCTCGCATACAAAAATCAGAACCTTTACTTTTGTTTTGTTTTATTTTAATGTTGAAGCATATAATAAAACAGTTATGGGCTTTTGTGCAGGTAAATATGATGTGATATGAACCTGAAAAAGTGATATTGACCACAGCTTCGCCTCTGTCAATATCACATTTTCAGGTTCATATCACATCATATTCACAAGCACAAAAGTCCATAATTGTATAATAACCACTTAATATCTATTACATATCAATTTGATCAGAATTAACTGTCGACTGTAAGACAAATGTTCTAAAATAAGAAATAGTTCAACCATTGAAACGTTTACCATATTAGAAAATCTTTGATAAATCATAAATAAAATTTTGTCATAAATTTTCACAGAAAATAATATAAAGCCAATATATATATGTGCCAATCAAAGACAGATAAAGACCTTCATTTAAATGAGTTTTTTGTGAAAAAAAATATAAATAGCAATTGCCTCCCTTTGTAAGTCACAACATTTGAAATCTAACACTGACACATCTAGTCACAGGAAAATTTAAAAAGAAATTGTAATTATGAGAGAAAGAGTATACAACCAGCACCTGACAAAATTTTAAAAAAATATCAATTATCACCCTCATCGCATCCTCATTATCCTCCAAAAAATGGGTAGTTTAACAATAAAACACATGCTCTCTAATTTTTTACTGTTGTATCAATTTTAAAGAAAAATTTTAAACCCTTGCTTTTTATAAAATGTCTGCATTTATACAAAGTCAAGTAGGTATACCGTAATGTTTCTTTACACTTTATTATTGATGTTATTGTTACTATGGCGACTGTGCTTTTGTTCTTATGAAATGTCCATGATCAGGCAAATTTTTCTTCCTCAAAGTATTGAGTTTGCTGGACAAAAATAGTAAAAGTAACAAAAACATTCAAAAAACGCAGAAAACAAGATCAAATTAACTCAGAATCTGAACTGAAGATGCTGGTGACAAAGATCTAACATAAAAGCTAGAGTCACAGCCTCATGCCACTATACCTGGATTTTGGGATCCTTTATCATCAGAACGAAAGAGACAAACAGATTACTTTAAACAGTACAGTCATTTGTAGATCGTAGCACTCCTAAATCACAGCCTCTCTGTGATGTATAGTAGATCATAGATTTCTTTATTGAAGGATTAAGTGCAACATGTAGACATCACATTGAAAGGAAAATTAAAGTCCCTATAGATAAAATATGTGCAAGTTGGACATCTGAGAAATGAAAAAGTGTGAATCAAAGTTATAACAAATTTACATATTAAAGACAGCTAGGTGTTTAAAGATCAGGTGCTTCAAGGAAGTTTAAAAATAAATCTAAAAAGGTTTACAATGATTTTCATTTCATGTTAATTAAGGTTTCTTACAGAAAGAGGAAATACTATGATAAATCTGTGAACAAAAGGTCTTACTAGAAATTTAATAATTATAGTAAGTATTATCAAACAATATAAATAACATGCATTTTTTGTTAAGGTTTAAACATGCCAACAGGCTAATATTACAATAAGTAAATAAGTAAATGGATGCATGTCACTTACAGATAATCGAATGCCTTTTACTTTCTGATGGCAATTTGAGAGAATTGTAGATTGTTAAACATCATCATCAACATTAAATACTTATAAGGTCAAAGGTTAATTACTTACTATAAAGGTCAAACCATAAAACAGGGTCAAATTCAACAAGTTAACAATAAATCAGAGTCAATTCTCTATCATGTAGGAACCTCCACTATGTACAACATCCACATTCAATTCCTATAAATGTTGTATGTCGCAGGTCTCTCAGAGGCTCATGATGAATAATTCAGTGACACCAGTCTAATTCAAAACCTTAGTATTGGGACGTACTTTTATCTAATCCAACATAATGCTGTACGCACAAAGGCTAAACAAAAGTGTGTCAATCCTCGGCTCAGGACTTGTTCAGCCCAGACACTGAGGCTCCTGACATGGTTTCTCAAGGTCCCACCATTATATAAAGGCTAAACAAAAGTGTGTCAATCCTTGGCCCAGGACTTGTTCAGCCCAGACACTGAGGCTCCTGACATGGTTTCTCAAGGTACCACCATTATATAAAGGCAAACAGGCCTAAGGCGTTAAGGGTAACTTATGGCCTCATTGGGGATTTTGAATTAGTTGTTATATTCGTAATCTAGAATAAATAAAGTATGCAAATTTGAAATTTCAAATTCATTCGACAACTGATTTAGGAGATATGGCATTACAAAGAGAGACATAAATCCGCATTTTTATAATAAAATGTGTGAATATCGTCTGTTGTGCGCTATTTGGTTGAAAATTGGCCATTTTGAAGGAAATTAACTAAATGCTTTTAAATTTTTGAAAGACTCCTCATGTGGAGGCTTTCATATCTACATGCTAACTGTCCCAAAACACCATAGTTTGGCTATTTCTGTATAGCAACGCTAATTTGTTGCTATGGTATTTATATACACATGCGCATTTGAAAAAAATATGCACCAAGAAAAATGGCCCATAATGCCCCAAGTCCTTTGTCAACGGTAAACTTTATACACTAGATTAAATAACCACTTTATTTATGATTAAACACTAAAAATGGCAGTCAACCTGGTTAGGTCTGCTAGTGATTTTTTGAGAACCTGCACCTCAGACATCGGGTATTTTTAGCCCATGTATGCAAAGTATAACAAGACCTGTCCATTCCGACATCTCTAATCTGAACAATTAATTGTGTTAGGGGTCAGATAAGACAGGTTTTACTCTGATAATAATCTTGTTTCTCTGAAATCAAGCAGCAGTAATTAAACACATCAACAAAATAAATCTGTCTTTGTTGTAAAGTAGAACTTAAATCAACCATTAATGACTATATAGCTACCAGACAGTAGGCATTATTTTGTCGTACAGTAGAACTTTGATCAACCATAAAATATAATGACTACCAGACAGTAGGCATTATTTTGTTGTACAGTAGAACTACCAGAGAGTAGGCATTATTTTGTTGTACAGTAAAACTACCAGACAGTAGGCTTTATTTTGTCGTACAGTACAACTACCAGACAGTAGGCATCATTTTGTTGTACAGTAGCACTACCAGACAGTAGGCATTATTTTGTCGTACAGTAGAACTTTGATCAACCATAAAATATAATGACTACCAGACAATAGGCATTATTTTGTTGTACAGTAGAAATACCAGACAGTAGGCATTATTTTGTCGTACAGTACAACTTTGATCAACCATAAAATATAATGACTACCAGACAATAGGCATTATTTTGTTGTACAGTAGAACTACCAGACAGTAGGCATTATTTTGTTGTATAGTAGAACTACCAGACAGTAGGCTTTATTTTGTCGTACAGTAGAACTACCAGACAGTAGGCATTATTTTGTCGTACAGTAGAACTACCAGACAGTAGGCTTTATTTTGTTGTACAGTAGAACTACCAGACAGTAGGCTTTATTTTGTCGTACAGTAGAACTACCAGACAGTAGGCTTTATTTTGTCGTACAGTATAACTACCAGACAGTAGGCATTATTTTGTCGTACAGTAGACCTACCAGACAGTAGGCTTTATTTTGTTGTACAGTAGAACTACCAGACAGTAGGAATTATTTTTTTGTACAGTAGAACTACCATACAGTAGGCATTATTTTGTTGTACAGTAGAACTACCAGACAGTAGGCTTTATTTTGTTGTACAGAAGAACTACCAGACAGTAGGCATTATTTTGTTGTATAGTAGAACTACCAGACAGTAGGCTTTATTTTGTCGTACAGTATAACTACCAGACAGTAGGCATTATTTTGTCGTACAGTAGAACTTTGATCAACCATAAAATATAATGACTACCAGACAGTAGGCATTATTTTGTTGTACATTAGAACTACCAGACAGTAGGCATTATTTTGTTGTATAGTAGAACTACCAGACAGTAGGCTTTATTTTGTCGTACAGTATAACTACCAGACAGTAGGCATTATTTTGTCGTACAGTAGACCTACCAGACAGTAGGCTTTATTTTGTTGTACAGAAGAACTACCAGACAGTAGGCATTATTTTGTTGTACATTAGAACTACCAGACAGTAGGCATTATTTTGTTGTATAGTAGAACTACCAGACAGTAGGCTTTATTTTGTCGTACAGTATAACTACCAGACAGTAGGCATTATTTTGTCGTACAGTAGACCTACCAGACAGTAGGCTTTATTTTGTTGTACAGTAGAACTACCAGACAGTAGGAATTATTTTTTTGTACAGTAGAACTACCATACAGTAGGCATTATTTTGTTGTACAGTAGAACTACCAGACAGTAGGCTTTATTTTGAATATTGAAAATCCTAGTTTAGTCACCTCAGAAAAATGTGTTGACTGAGCGAATATTGTTTTTTATTGAACAAAGTTTCAATGTACACAGTACTTGACACTCTATAAAATGTATAACACATGTTTTATTCGGCCTCACTTTTTTGTCCTAGTCACCATTTAGCCAAAAAACTACTCTAAACTATTTTTCAGTCTCTGTCACAGGCAACTGTGCCAGTGGATGATTCCAAGGCTGTACATTTAAACAAAATTTATATTTCCACCAAAAGACAAACATCCACATTTGCAGAGTTTGGTATTTTTTTTATATTTTATTAGAAAATTAGAAACTCATAATGGAACACTCATTCATTTCTAATTGTATATGAATACACTTTTTCATTTTCAGTGATTTTGTATATGAAGTGAATTTTACAAAATTCATGAAATATGAAAATTCTCATACATAGGATGAAAATGTTAAAACTGGTGGAGTTATAGAAATTGGTAAATGTTCAGTTCAGAAGGGATTTTTTTCTCCATGGGTTTATCAATAAATGATAACGACTTTGGCTGAGATTGGTTCCTGATTTGACAAATCAAAATTTTAACATCTCCTAGAAATTCTTAACAACAAAAAACAAAAAACTTATCCAAATTTAAAACAAAATATGTTAAACCACAAAACTAACAACAGATGTACAACAATAAGGTGGTGGACTTACTTTTCCTTTCTTCTTCTTCCCCGACTAGCATTAATGTAACAACAGATACAGTTAAATACACCAGCAATAAATACTGACCAGCCATAGTCGTGGGCCCATATCAATTATAATCGATTTGATTGGTTTGTCATTCTGATTCCGATTATCAATTTCAAATCATATACCGAACTCAGGTGTCATTAGAGGTATACTGTGTCAAATATGAATAGGAAGTTATATATTCTTACAACTTTTATTTTATAATTGACAAAACTGCATAAAAGTTGCTTCCATTATTAAAGATGGAATCCTCTCTCCAGTGCCCAACGTAATGAAATTAAAACCTTTTACGATATAAATACTGTACACATTAGAAAGATGTGATTAATTTTTCTGTGCAAACATTATATGGGATAAGCTAAATCTGGCTGGCTAATTCGTATTTATATTCGTCTATAAAACTCAGGGGAAAAAATTGATATTTTTGAAATGGTGGCTAGTCAAAACGCATTTTCATGGTTTCTGAGCTTATTCTGGTGTTTGGAATGAGATAAAAACAATCTCTCATGCCCAAGGGTGTAGGATAGGAAAATTCCACCCTCGAGATTTTCAAAGGCAAAACCCTTGACTTTCCCTATCCTACACCCCTGTGCATGAAAGAGTCCTATAATCTTACACCTTTTCTGCATTCCTGCTCAAGGATGAAAAAGGTATAAATGAAATGAGGACAAATTAATAATCATTTTCAATGCTATGACCCTGGGCTCCTGCCTGTCCTAAACTATGTTATGCAATCACAATAGACAGTCTTAATACATTTGGATCATTGTCACATACTGATGTGTTTTAACTAGTCATATAGCTAATAGAATAAAATTGCAGCTAGAAATAATACAAGCATGACTCTATATATAAATGCCACAGATCACGTTTTATACAAATGATTTTAGTGGTTATAAACACAGCACCATTAATGGGTTTGATGCACAAGGCCAATATGGCATTATTTGTCTAACCCATTTGTAATATATTGACACGACAAATACCCCACAGTGTACATGTATTACTTTAGATCTGCTGAAACGTAGAGACCCACCACTAACGAGATGGTAGAAATTTGCTCAGTGTAAACATTTGTTTTGTTTGAACTAGATCAACTTTTGTAAGTAGACCAATGTAATTTACTATTAAGCAGCATAGATCTGCACTGGGAGGATATGTTTTACCTATACAGCTATGTTTTAATTTGTACCAATTAGGAATGAATTTCATAACATCTTCTGTATAACCAACCATATACCTATATATTACTAAGATAAAATAAAACCTCAAAATTCTGCCACCATTTGTCGAATAGACCTGGGAAATACAAAGTGATAAACCTGAGAATTTGACTACAAATCACTTATCAAAAGTAGTTATTATGAATTTATGATGAAAGCAAAGCAGTGTAAGCGATTCCTAGTCCCCCGCCAATATTTGTTCCTGAAGATATCCCTACAGCAAGCGTCAGAAGGACCAACGAAATATGGAAGACGTATCATGGACAAATGGTGAAAACCTTTCCGGCTCCTGTGCTGGTACCAGAGGGGGACTAATTACCAGGAGGGCCACATTATATTTTGAAAGCTATTCAGACACAGAAGGTGGTGACTATGGCTTGTTAACCAGACCAGAATGAAGCAACTAAAAACAGAAAATTGTTTCTGAAATCCATGCTTACTTGTAGTAATTGAGCTGTTTGTTGCATGCGCATTGAGTAAATGTTCTTACCGTACAGTTATAATCATAGACAAAATACTCATTATATACATAATGATATTCATGTATTTCCTTATGAAGAAAACAAGATTTGTTCTATGACAGTGTCGCAGTAGGTTCATGAATTATTGCCAATATCATATAAAAGGGAACACCAGCCACGATAGAAATAAACAAGTCACCTAAAGCTTCCTATTTTATACTGGAAAACTGCAATATAATGCCCTCATATTTGTAACAGAAGAGATCCAGAAAAAAGCACGGCCAGACTGGGATTCGAACCTGTGACCCTTCGAACTCTAGATTGACACTCTAACCAACTGAGCTATAGCTACCATGCATGCACACAGCCTGTCGCTGGCAATTGACCCTGTCCAGTTCCACTTCATTTATATACAAAAAAAACTGCAATACCCATAGTATCATTTAACACCAAAATCGTTCCAGTTCCTTGGCTTTTTTTCTTCACATTTCCTTTACAACCATACCTTAATATCTGGCCAAACCTCTTTATAATGCTGAATCGTCACAGACAAATGGTGGCAGTATAACAAGGGTTTACTTTACAACATAGTACTAGTAGCTAAACATACCGTTATCAATACAGGTCTAGCTACGTTACTACTCATTTCAACATCAATCCGAGTAATCATAGACAGATGATTAGATGTTGGAGCTTCATTTTACCGGTATATATCCTTTGTATTGTCATGTTAATGTGAAACTGCAATGTTAAAATGGGAAACTGCAATGTTAAAATGGGAAACTGCAATGTTAAAACGGAAACTGCAATGTTAAAAAGCTTCTGACTAAGTTAATAAACAGGGACATATGTTACTGTTGATACAACTACTGTCAGGAAAGCTTAGCAAGCCAGTACGTGTTTTTTACACAACAGTTCTAGGAGAGATTAGTTCTAGTACTATAGTGACAAGGATACATGTCTCAGCTAGGAGACTACAAAATCCTGTATAACCCATATTAGTGATTATATATAGACAGTCACTGTATGACCAATATTGGTGATTATATATAGACAGACGTTTCCTATAATGTCAGTTAAAAAGACCAAGACAGACAGTTACCAGGAGCCACAGTAATGGGGTAGACATGTAATTATGACATGAATATTCATTGGCATGTAATGAATATTCATATTCAATTCATTGTCTGTAGTAATAAGGAATCATTGGTAAGAAATTTTATTAGGAGTTCCCTAGCCTATTTAATAGGCAGTAGCACAATTCTTAGCTAGTAAGAGCATAGAAGGTTTTCATTTCTCCCAATGCAGCTTAACCAAACAACCAAATACTGATGGACTGTCTATATAAATTAGATGTATGTCAAGTCACCTAGGCCAAAAGTAATCCTGCAAAACTCTGTGACCTTCTCTATAATGTTTTACTTTACATGCTGACTTTCAGGTTTTTATTCGAATATTCTACCCTTTCACCACTATGGACCATAATGGACTTACCCAGATCAATGCATGGTAGAGTTTATTAAAGCTACATAGGGGTGGAAGGCTTAAGATAATATAATTGTGTGTGTGTTGCTGTAACTGGGTCAGTATATGTCCAGTATGATCCTGAGTACCTGTGTTCTTGTGTATTGCTATGAGATATAATCAAACTGTGTCAGTATGTTTGATCGTGTGTACCTGTTTAAGCTGAGCGGAGGTCCATTTCAGAGATCCCATGGCCTTGGTATCGGTTGTTGTGGTCTCCTGCTTCCGTTTGTACTCAGCTAGAAATTGAAAGTTTACATTGAAAAACAATCAAATCAATCCTGCTTTCTCTTGTACTCACATCACATGACAGCCTATTCTTAGCGAAGCAGGCACCCCTTGCTTATTTCAATTACATCAAAGAAAGTAGTGCTAATCAGGTATTGCTTTTTTTTCTTTACAAAATATTTGACTTCCATCTATTTTAAAACATATTAACACTACTGCTGTCATGTTGTAGTGACTAAGCTAGGGTTTATCAGACCATTTAAAGCAATTAACATATTAACACTACTGCTGTCATGTTGTAGTGATTAAGCTATGGTTTATCAGATCATTTAAAGTAATTAACATATTAACACTACTGCTGTCATGTTGCAATGACTAAGCTAGGGTTTATCAGACCAATTAAAGCAATTAACATATTAACACTACTGCTGTCATGTTGTAGTGACTAAGCTAGGGTTTATCAGATCATTTAAAGCAATTAACATATTAACACTACTGCTGTCATGTTGCAGTGACTAAGCTAGGGTTTATCAGACCAATTAAAGCAATTAACATATTAGCACTACTGCTGTCATGTTGTAGTGATTAATCTAGGGTTTATCAGATCATTTAAAGCAATTAACATATTAACACTACTGCTGTCATGTTGTAGTGATTAAGCTAGGGTTTATCAGATCATTTAAAGCAATCATAAATCAGCATGTATTTACAGTAAGCACTATACACAAACTTACTGACTTAGACAAACATTTAAGCACCAAAAGAGCTGAAAGAAGAATACCACCAAAATATGGGTGTGTGCAGTAACCAATACTTGCAATATAGGTGCATATCAGATATTTTGTTCCTATTATTTACTAAGCGATCACTCACCCATAACGGCGTGGAGCCAGTAACCACTGACCACATGTTCTATCCTGCAGTAACTGTCAACAGGAATGTCATCATTCTCCTGAAAAGGAACAAAAAAAACAAATACAAATCTTGTATATCTAACAATTAAGTAGTTACCCGACCTATTGGAGGATCGACACTCAACATGTGGATCAAATTATCATTCCAACAGCTCGACGTGACATTTGTTGTTATACTTATTACTGTATCATGACAAACGCTTGACAAATTTTTTAGTTCCCCTACTTTCACTTCGCTGATGAGGGGAGATGAATCTCTTTAAAACCTGGTATACATTATAATCCTGATATGAAGTTGTGTCTCCCTTAAAAGAATTTTGATTCAACAATTTTTGCAAAAGTTATTGCCCTTTGTTCATTTCAGTATTTGATTTTTTGTCCGGAGATCTCCTCCAACATTTTTTGACGGATTTCTTTGAAACTTAGTAGGCTAAATAATCATGATATGTTGTTGTGTTAAAAAATTTCCTTGAAAAGAATTTTGGTTTCGATAATTTTGGAAAAGTTCTTGCCCTTTGTTTATTTCAGTATTTGATTTTTGTACGGCAATCTCCTCCTACATTTTTCAACGGATCTCTTTAAAACTTGGTATACAATATAATTATGATATAAAGTTGTGTCTCCCTTAAAAGAATTTTGATTCATTTCAGTATTTGATTTTTTGTCTGGAGATTTTCTCCTACATTTTTTATAGCATGTCAGCTAACCACTCTTAGAATGATGCAGATCTTATTTCAACATAAGAAAGTACAAGTATATAACACTATATGGCATTCGACGGGCGTATATTGTTCCGCCCCGCGGTACTCTTGTTCAATTGGGAATTGGTCCCTGTACCAGACCCTATAAACACCTGGCAAAAACCCTGATTATAGAACAAAACCTCTATATAATAATGCCCCTCGCCTTAATTGATAGAGTCCATCTTTACACAGTGTTAATTTCGCCCTTCATTGATAAGAGTCCATCTTTACACAGTGTTAATTTCGCCCTTCATTGATAGAATCCATCTTTACACAGTGTTAATTTTGCCCTTCATTGATAGAGTCCATCTTTACACGGTGTTAATTTTGCCCTTGATAATTTGTTATTACTATGTAGTGTATGTTATTTTCACTTTCATGATAAATCCTCATTACGGACGGCGAAAATAAGTGCAAGTCAAACTTAGGCAAATATTTCCTGGTATAGATTATTTCTACATTGACAGGAAAACATTTCACTGGGTGACGGTTTTCTCGTATGCAGTATCTGAAACTTGTATTAGAGGGCTCTGTGAAGGTAATAGGTCACGATTATAATTTACAACTATTTAGTGACAATAGTTAATGATGACATTTTACACAGTTACTCAGATATAAGTCACTGAAATTTCAATGCATTGTATACACATTGCCCTGTGATCAGTTTCTGCTTGTTTTGTACAAGTGCCATTCTTCTCAGATTGATTAATTAGATATTTTACTTCCCAAAGCTTTAGTGTCTGATTATTATGATAAAATCAGCAACAATGGGTGTTTTTTTGTACTTTAATGACTAAATGACTATTAGTGACAGGATTCTAACAGTTCTGTGGTTTTTTGTACTTTAATGACTAAATGACTATTAGTGAAAGGATTCTAACAGTTCTGTGGGTTTTTTGTACTTTATTGCCTAATGACTATTAGTGACAGGATTGTAACAGTTCTGTGGGTTTTTTGTACTTTAATGACTAAATGACTATTAGTGACAGGATTCTAACAGTTCTGTGGGTTTTTTGTACTTTAATGACTAAATGACTATTAGTGACAGGATTCTAACAGTTCTGTGGGTTTTTTGTACTTTAATGACTAAATGACTATTAGTGACAGGATTCTAACAGTTCTGTGGGTTTTTTGTACTTTAATGACTAAATGACTATTAGTGACAGGATTCTAACAGTTCTGTGGGTTTTTTGTACTTTAATGACTAAATGACTATTAGTGACAGGATTCTAACAGTTCTGTGGGTTTTTTGTACTTTAATGACTAAATGACTATTAGTGACAGGATTCTAACAGTTCTGTGGGTTTTTTGTACTTTAATGACTAAATGACTATTAGTGACAGGATTCTAACAGTTCTGTGGGTTTTTTGTACTTTAATGACTAAATGACTATTAGTGACAGGATTCTAACAGTTCTGTGGGTTTTTTGTACTTTAATGACTAAATGACTATTAGTGACAGGATTCTAACAGTTCTGTGGGTTTTTTGTACTTTAATGACTAAATGACTATTAGTGACAGGATTCTAACAGTTCTGTGGGTTTTTTGTACTTTAATGACTAAATGACTATTAGTGACAGGATTCTAACAGTTCTGTGGGTTTTTTGTACTTTAATGACTAAATGACTATTAGTGACAGGATTCTAACAGTTCTGTGGGTTTTTTGTACTTTAATGACTAAATGACTATTAGTGACAGGATTCTAACAGTTCTGTGGGTTTTTTGTACTTTAATGACTAAATGACTATTAGTGACAGGATTCTAACAGTTCTGTGGGTTTTTTGTACTTTAATGACTAAATGACTATTAGTGACAGGATTCTAACAGTTCTGTGGGTTTTTTGTACTTTAATGACTAAATGACTATTAGTGACAGGATTCTAACAGTTCTGTGGGTTTTTTGTACTTTAATGACTAAATGACTATTAGTGACAGGATTCTAACAGTTCTGTGGGTTTTTTGTACTTTAATGACTAAATGACTATTAGTGACAGGATTCTAACAGTTCTGTGGGTTTTTTGTACTTTAATGACTAAATGACTATTAGTGACAGGATTCTAACAGTTCTGTGGGTTTTTTGTACTTTAATGACTAAATGACTATTAGTGACAGGATTCTAACAGTTCTGTGGGTTTTTTGTACTTTAATGACTAAATGACTATTAGTGACAGGATTCTAACAGTTCTGTGGGTTTTTTGTACTTTAATGACTAAATGACTATTAGTGACAGGATTCTAACAGTTCTGTGGGTTTTTTGTACTTTAATGACTAAATGACTATTAGTGACAGGATTCTAACAGTTCTGTGGGTTTTTTGTACTTTAATGACTAAATGACTATTAGTGACAGGATTCTAACAGTTCTGTGGGTTTTTTGTACTTTAATGACTAAATGACTATTAGTGACAGGATTCTAACAGTTCTGTGGGTTTTTTGTACTTTAATGACTAAATGACTATTAGTGACAGGATTCTAACAGTTCTGTGGGTTTTTTGTACTTTAATGACTAAATGACTATTAGTGACAGGATTCTAACAGTTCTGTGGGGTTTTTGTACTTTAATGACTAAATGACTATTAGTGACAGGATTCTAACAGTTCTGTGGGTTTTTTGTACTTTAATGACTAAATGACTATTAGAGACAGATTCTAACAGTTCTGTGGGTTTTTTGTACTTTAATGACTAAATGACTACTAGTGACAGGATTCTACCAGTTCTGTGGGGTTTTTGTACTTTAATGGCTAAATGACTACTAGTGACAGGATTCTACCAGTTCTGTGGGTTTTTTGTACTTTAATGACTAAATGACTATTAGCGACAGGATTCTACCAGTTCTGTGGGATTAACAAGGATGGCGCAGAACATAAAATGTAGTCAGCTAGGTCATGCACAAGACCTATCGATAATATCAATAAATATTATATGAACTGAGCCATTTCTATTGTTACAGAATACAATGACGGAAGATAAACCGTTTACAGCATGCAAATGCCAACATTAGTTTGATGGTTTTTGCCTAACAGAATCAATTCTTTTTTAATTGACATGAAAACAAACTACTTGATCTCAAGTTTTTTTTAAATACTGACATTCAATGAATAGCATCCTTTAATTTACTTTGTTACCAGGAGTATATTTATGTTGACAAAAAACAAGAGGCCCATGGGCCTTAACAGTCACCTGACTCCTACAGTATGTATTTTTGTTGTTGAAATATGAAGTGGAGATAATGATGTCAATCTTCCCTACCAATGACAGGAAAATTTGTTAAGTATAATGTTATGTCAAGTTTGTCAGGACCATGAGTTGATCATTCCTAGACCTGTTTCAGCTTAATAGAACTTGATTTTGTGTCATTTTTTTTTCTCTCAAAATGGCAGCCATATTGGATTTCTGATCGACCCGAAAAATAACAACACCTTATCAGGACCATGAGTCAATAATTCCTACCAAGTTTCAGTTCAATCGGCCCAGTTGAACTTGACTTTAAGTTTGAAATAGTTTTTCAAAATGGCAACCGTGGCAGCCATATTGGAATTCTGATCGACCTAAAATATAACAACATTTTGTCAGGACCATGAGCCTATTATTCCTACAAAGTTTCAATAAAAAACGCCCAGTAGAACTTGACTTTAAGTTTGGGATAGTTTTGCAAAATGTGGCTGTGGCGACCATATTGAATTTCTGATCGACCCGAAAAAAGCAACCCTTTGTCAGGACCATGAGTCGATCATTCCTACCAAGTTACAGTTCAATCAGCCCAGTAGAACTTGACCTTAAGTTTGAAATCGTTTTTCAAAATGGCAGCCGTGGCGGCCATATTGGATTTCTGAGCGACCCGAAAAATAACAACACTTGGTCAGGGAGATGTCAGTAACATTTCCATGAAGTATCAATGAAATCCCTTCGAAAGTATTTCAGCTTAAGTTGAAAATTTAAAATGTTAAAGGACGAAGACGGATAGCAATAGGTCAATTGAATTTAAGCTCAGGTGACCTTAAAAGCTTTGGATCCTTTGGCACTTTTAGATAATTAAAATAATTTAACACGCAAGTTTTGAGCTAGTATATTATAAGATAATATGTTGTAAACAATTTCAACTAAAGTTCATTTGAATTAGTTTTAAATTTAAAATTGGTTTTCAAGATGGCTGCCATTGTGGCCATATTGAATTTCAAATCAGCAGCCGATAGATGATTGACAAAGATGGATAGCAACAAAGGCTCACATGATTCTCAAGTGAGCTAAAAATAGATGTTTTATTTCTTTATAATATAATAGTAAATATTTACCATTAATCATTTTGAGCATTTCAAATGTCACAATAAATCTTTAACAATAAATCTTTAACAATATCTTTATAAAACAAAAAAATCTTGATTAGTGATAACAAAGACAGTTTGGGAAAACACATTACACATGCAACATGTTCTGTCCTTTACCAACACAAGCTTCCCATACATCACTTTAGGATGAGGATGAACAAAGTCATGCAATTTGTTTTAGCATGGAGTCAAAATAACATCACAAATTCTCCAGACGGATAATTGTGTAAAATTTCTGTCATGTCATGATGTGACAATTGCAATGACAATGCAATTTGTGCAGCAGACAATGGACAATTTATCCTCACACAAATGACGTACAAAACTCTGACAGAAAAAATAAATGGAAGTCCTCATGGTCTAATAGGACCTGACCAGTCAACTATGTCAAACATGCACACACGACCTTGGGACAGTGGGACAGGATACACTGTTAGGTAATGGGGTCGGATAAATAATTTAAACGACAGAACAAAAGTAGCAATGTGTTGTGATGATGGCCTGGTTACTAATATTCTAACAGAAAATGGTAGGCAGTTTTAGCCATCATCAAAATATCTTGTAAGTTGTATTTAAGGAGGTATGTTACCTTACTATTTCATGGTTTCTGGTACTCCTAATGTTATTCATTATAGATTACTGATACAACTAGTACCTTGAGGTGAAACTTTATAGCCATGTGTTTATAGTGACATTTGTTGCTGTTGTTTGAATTTGGACTCACCAACATTGTACATTTTTCAGAAGGTATCTTTAAAACTGCCCTTTTACTTTATTTTTTCTTTCATCCTTGTCAATCATGTTTAGTCAGAAATAAGCAATACTTTCATCAAGGTTGTCTAGTGATAAACTTTTAAATTATATCAATCAGTGGAATGACAAATGTTCCAGATTTAAAATAATGTACCAAAGGATATATAGTCTGCAGCCTGGGACATCTAGATCTACTGATATAAATCAGTCAGCCAGGTGCTATAATTTAACACAATAATTTATGTCCATATTAACAAAAGTAATGTTTTCATGAACTTTCTTTACTCTTGCTAAACGCTCTGTAATTTTAACACCCCCTTACTCATTTTCAAATCTAGATGTGACCATCTGTGTTAACTAGTTAAATAGGGGAATGGCCTTATATTGATTGGAACATTAGTAGTGTCAAACAACAGTCATTTATGAATTTTCACTTTGTTCAATAAAATCCACATTGAATGGGGAAAAAATGGTGTATGGCTATGATCTTCTATGGCTAAATTCATATAAAATAGATAAAATGTTAACAATTACACATTATCATTCCTCAATACATAATATACATTGTAGATGTAATTGCATTTCAGAAGCTCATGCTGACTTCACATACAGTTTATACACACATTATAATCATTCCTGAAACTCAAAAGCTATAACTGTAAAACATAACCATGCCTTGTTTCCAAATTTATGTAATACTTTCATCTCAAAAGCTCAACAATCCAGCAGTACTTACCATCATTGCAAGCTATGATGGGTCCAAACATAAATCATAAAGGGGAGATAACTCAGATAAATCTAAACAATCATAGTCACTGTATGATCAAGTCGACTGACTATATGTAATTTATAAAGAAGAGATAACTCAGGAAACTCTATCATCATATTCACTTCAGGTGAATAACATATAAACTCTAAATTATCAGATTCAGTGTAAAAATAGAGCAAAGGGTAAAATATACAGGGGAGATAACTCAGTTAATTCAAAACGATCATATTTAATGCCCGAGAATGTGATGTTATACAGGGAGACAACTCGGACAACTCTAGATAATTGTACTTACTGGATGTGTAAATTATACAGGGAGACAACTCAGACAATTCTTGATAATTGTACTTACTGGATGTGTAAATTATACAGGGAGACAACTCAGACAATTCTAGATAATTGTACTTACTGGATGTGTAAATTATACAGGGAGACAACTCAGACAATTCTAGATAATTGTACTTACTGGATGTGTAAATTATACAGGGAGACAACTCAGACAATTCTAGATAATTGTACTTACTGGATGTGTAAATTATACAGGGAGACAACTCAGACAATTCTAGATAATTGTACTTACTGGATGTGTAAATTATACAGGGAGACAACTCAGACAATTCTAGATAATTGTACTTACTGGATGTGTAAATTATACAGGGAGACAACTCAGACAATTCTAGATAATTGTACTTACTGGATGTGTAAATTATACAGGGAGACAACTCAGACAATTCTAGATAATTGTACTTACTGGATGTGTAAATTATACAGGGAGACAACTCAGACAATTCTAGATAATTGTACTTACTGGATGTGTAAATTATACAGGGAGACAACTCAGACAATTCTAGATAATTGTACTTACTGGATGTGTAAATTATACAGGGAGACAACTCAGACAATTCTAGATAATTGTACTTACTGGATGTGTAAATTATACAGGGAGACAACTCAGACAATTCTAGATAATTGTACTTACTGGATGTGTAAATTATACAGGGAGACAACTCAGACAATTCTAGATAATTGTACTTACTGGATGTGTAAATTATACAGGGAGACAACTCAGACAATTCTAGATAATTGTACTTACTGGATGTGTAAATTATACAGGGAGACAACTCAGACAATTCTAGATAATTGTACTTACTGGATGTGTAAATTATACAGGGAGACAACTCAGACAATTCTAGATAATTGTACTTACTGGATGTGTAAATTATACAGGGAGACAACTCAGACAATTCTAGATAATTGTACTTACTGGATGTGTAAATTATACAGGGAGACAACTCAGACAATTCTAGATAATTGTACTTACTGGATGTGTAAATTATACAGGGAGACAACTCAGACAATTCTAGATAATTGTACTTACTGGATGTGTAAATTATACAGGGAGACAACTCAGACAATTCTAGATAATTGTACTTACTGGATGTGTAAATTATACTGGGAGACAACTCAGACAATTCTAGATAATTGTACTTACTGGATGTGTAGATCAGTGTGTAAATTATACAGGTGAGATACATTAAATAAATTGTTTTTAGTCATGTCTGCTTTATCATTAAGCTACCAAATGGATTTTTTTGTCATAAACTGTAAATTTACCAAGAAAATCATAATTTTGTGCATTTACTTGATAACATGGAAACTCTCTTTAAAAAGAAGATGCTTTTATTGACGAGAAGCAATTCATTATTCACTAAGAGGGCTTTCGTACACCACCACCAGGCTAGGAGAAGAACTGAATTTAACCATTTCTGTACTCTTACTGGATGGTTGTTCGTTACACCTGATGTATAGATACAACAAGGGAAAATAAAACAATTGTTAACCAAAAGTAATAATATTAAAAGCAATCACATTTAAATGATTATTTCTCAGTGACTACTCATGTTTTATACCAATACAATCTTCATATTGGGTGTGTACGTAGTCTCAATATCAATACTCATATGGCTTCGGCTCAACATGGTTTCTGTCACATCACAATACACAGAGACGCTGTTTTTATCTATCAATACGACGACACCAGGCAACACGTTAGAGAGGAGAAATCTTCAAAGATGACCACATAAAAGTTTGTGTAGAGACCAATATTAGAGACAATGGGATCTGTTGACCAGCGTGTGCCATCAATGTTAATATCAATTCATTCTCTTGTACTTTATAACAATGACAATACACACTGAAAATTAAGTTCGGTACGACAGGAAACAGAACTCATATATATCCATTATTGATTCGTAGAAACTAGTGTGTATGACGAACGTGGAAGGATGTACCAGGTAACTTAGTATCAGTATAAATATTTCATCTCAAATAATATGTCTGTAAAGTTTTCTCACACCATAATAGAACAGGTGCTATTGATACTACATACTTTTAAACAGAATTTATGGATACAATTAAAACTACAATACAGACAGTGGGGGCTACCGAAGGTATAGGCTAACATGTATAGAATATGAATTCTCAACACTACATACAGATAGTCTGTAAAGTTTTCTCACACCATAATAGAACAGGTGCTATTGATACTACATACTTTTAAACAGAATTTATGGATACAATTAAAACTACAATACAGACAGTGGGGGCTCCCGAAGGTATAGGGTAACATGTATAGAATATGAATTCTCAAAACTACAATACAGATAGTGGGGGTTACCGAAGCTATAGGCTAACATGTATAGAATATGAATTCTCAACACTACAATACAGATAGTGGGGGTTACCGAAGGTATAGGCTACCATGTATAGAATATGAATTCTCAACACTACATACAGATAGTCTGTAAAGTTTTCTCACACCATAATAGAACAGGTGCTATTGATACTACATACTTTTAAACAGAATTTATGGATACAATTAAACCTACAATACAGACAGTGGGGGCTACCGAAGGTATAGGCTAACATGTATGGAATATGAATTCTCAAAACTACAATACAGACAGTGGGGGTGACCGAAGGTACGCTAACATGTATAGAATATGAATTCTCAACACTACATACAGATAGTGGGGGTTACCGAAGGTATAGGCTACCATGTATAGAATATGAATTCTCAACACTACATACAGATAGTCTGTAAAGTTTTCTCACACCATAATAGAACAGGTGCTATTGATACTACATACTTTTAAACAGAATTTATGGATACAATTAAACCTACAATACAGACAGTGGGGGCTACCGAAGGTATAGGCTAACATGTATGGAATATGAATTCTCAAAACTACAATACAGACAGTGGGGGTTACCGAAGGTAAGCTAACATGTGTAGAATATGAATTCTCAAAACTACAATACAGACAGTGGGGGTTACCGAAGGTACGCTAACATGTATAGAATATGGATTCTCAACACTACAATACAGATAGTGGGGGCTACCGAAGGTATAGGCTAACATTTATAGAATATGAATTCTCAAAACTACAATACAGACAGTGGGGGTGACCGAAGGTACGCTAACATGTATAGAATATGAATTCTCAACACTATATACAGATAGTGGGGGTTACCGAAGGTATAGGCTACCATGTATAGAATATGAATTCTCAACACTACATACAGATAGTCTGTAAAGTTTTCTCACACCATAATAGAACAGGTGCTATTGATACTACATACTTTTAAACAGAATTTATGGATACAATTAAACCTACAATACAGACAGTGGGGGCTACCGAAGGTATAGGCTAACATGTATGGAATATGAATTCTCAAAACTACAATACAGACAGTGGGGGTGACCGAAGGTACGCTAACATGTATAGAATATGGATTCTCAACACTACAATACAGATAGTGGGGGTTACCGAAGGTATAGGCTACCATGTATAGAATATGAATTCTCAACACTACATACAGATAGTGGGGGTTACCGAAGGTACGCTAACATGTATAGAATATGAATTCTCAACACTACAATACAGATAGTGGGGGCTACCGAAGGTATAGGCTAACATGTATGGAATATGAATTCTCAAAACTACAATACAGACAGTGGGGGTTACCGAATGTATAGGCTAACATGTATAGAATATGAATTCTCAACACTACAATACAGACAGTGGGGGTTACCGAAGGTATAGGCTAACATGTATAGAATATGAATGAAAAAAATCTTTCTTGACAAAATGTAAGAATTCTTGTAACATTAGTTTCTTGACAAAATGTAAGAATTCTGGTAATCTTCATTGACAAATATCAGATTTTGGGTAAAACTTTCCTGACAAAATGTAAGGTTTCTTGTAATTGTTCCTGAAAATGAACAAGAGGCCCAATGGGCCTGCATCACTCACCTGGTATTAATCTCACAATTGTAACCTTAACAGTGGACTAAAATAAAGCTACAGGCAAAATATCAGTGTCTTGACTAAACTAAAATCATTCAGAAGAACCTGTTAAACGATTTAAACACATTTGACCTTTGTGACCTTAAAAGTCAAACATGGACATTAAATTGAACAAACTTTACAGCCTTCATCCCAGAATGCAACTTGTCAGATATCACCACCCTAATGGCCCTATACCTTTCGTTTATTGAGAAGATGACTTTTAAATATTTATGCACTGTGGACCAGATGTTACCTTGAAAGTGTGTCAAGGTCATTCACATGAACAAGCAATCACCCTGGATGCTTAAGTTTTTCAGAAGAAGTCAATTTTTAGTGTTTTTAAGACAAATAACCCCTGTGACCTTGAATATGGGGGAAGGTCATTCATTTGAAAAAACTTTGTAGCCCTTCATGCCAACATCCTTCTGGCCAAATATCATCACCCTGGACCTTTTGGTTATTCAGAAGAAGTTGTTAAAAGATTTCAACATATTTGACCATAGGCTATGACCTTGAAATGGGCGAAGGTCATTCATTTGAAAAAACTTTGTAGCCCTTCATGCCAACATCCTTCTGGCCAAATATCATCACCCTGGACCTTTTGGTTATTCAGAAGAAGTTGTTAAAAGATTTCAACATATTTGACCATAGGCTATGACCTTGAAATGGGCGAAGGTCATTCATTTGAAAAAACTTTGTAGCCCTTCATGCCAACATCCTTCTGGCCAAATATCATCACCCTGGACCTTTTGGTTATTCAGAAGAAGTTGTTAAAAGATTTCAACATATTTGACCCCTATGACCTTGAAATGGGCGAAGATCATTCATTTGAAAAAACTTGGTAGTGCTTCATCACAACATACTTCTGGCCAAGTATCAACACTCTAGGCCTCTTGGTTATCTAGAAGAAAATGCTTAAAAGTTTAAACATATTTGACCCCCCTGTGACCTTGAATGTGGGTGAAGGTTATTTATTTAAATAAACTTGGTAGCCCTTCATCCCAGTTTGCTTCTGGCCAAATATCATCACCCTAGGCCTTTTGGTTAAAAGAAGAAGTTGTTTATAAAGTGAAATATTGACGCTGGACGACGAGGTACGGACGACGGACGCAGCACCACGGCATAAGCTCACTTGGCCCTTCCGGTACAGGTGAATATTTCACTTCGATTTATTAATTGTAATTGTCAATGTTTTCATAACGAGTGAGCCTTGATTACAATTTGAATTATATAAGTTTGATTCATGAGAATAATATTAGAATTGTTATATCAGGGGAAATTTCTGGACTTTGCCGTAAGTTCGACACATCAAGTTTGAATCATTCAAGTTCGATTTATAGAAGTTTGACTGTAGGATCCTTGCTGGAAAAAATGAAGATTTTCTGTGATCTTTCCTGCCAGATTTGTGTTTATATTTGTAGTATGTGGTTCGTAATTACCGATATCTAAGTAAAACGCGTGTAGACTTACACTAGTGCTAAATCCTAAAGCAGGAAAACACAAACAGTTCACACAGACTATCTGTCTTATCGAAGCTTACCCTTATGACAGGATGCAGTCTGAACACAGTGCGTGGATCATCATGGTCGGAGGTCAAGGTCACTTTCTTTTCTGTTGTATACGTGAGGTACTTCCGTGAGCACATGTGGATAATCTTACACTGCTGTTCCCATTTCAATATTCCACCTACAAATGTCAATCAAGAGTAAGGAACACCCACAAAAGTACTAGGCATAGTTACTGACACCTACACAAATGTCACATGTTTAAAAAATTCATTACGATTGAGAAAAAGATTCTTATGAGAAACATGATTTGTGATGTTAAATAAATGAGTATTAGATCTTTCACAATTAATGAATGCCATTTGTTTTGTTTATCTTACAGTACATCATTTTTATCTGATAGAACAACTTTGTATTCAATTTTCAAATTTCAAGAAAGTAAAACTAGATTAAAATTCCTCTTCTTTTCAATAGATTTGAATTAACTATATATAATTAGAATCAGTTAAGCACATTCACTTGTTGACTCTACGATACTCACCACTGATGGGTCCGTTCTGTAACTCTGCCAGTATTCTACCATACTCACCACTGGTGGGTCTGTCCTGTAACTCTGCCAGTATTCTACCATACTCACCACTGATGGGTTCGTCCTGTAGCTCTATCTGCCAGTATTCTACAATACTCACCACTGATGGGTCCGCCCTGTAACTCTATCTGCCAGTATTCTACAATACTCACCACTGATGGGTCCGCCCTGTAACTCTATCTGCCAGTATTCTACAATACTCACCACTGATGGGTC